CATCCAAGGATAACCCACTCTGGGGGGCTTTAGTCTTACAAGTGTCAGGGTCTAAGAAACAGGAGTGAAAAAAATAACATCAGTGAGGTGGTCAGAGCACCTTGAGAAAGTGACTAAGTGCCTCCAGGAAGAAGGTAATATAAAACCTAAAATCCATGAAAATAAATCAGAAGTCTGAGCTGTTCTTGACCAGGTGACAGGTGGTTGGATAGTAGTGACTGGAGCTAATTCCAAGATGGGAAATCACTTTGCCTAAAGTTAAGTCCAAAATCACTCAGTCTGGAGCTATCCTTGTCTTGTTCAAACTACCTCTCTCTTTGGTTAACTTGGATTCTTAAAAGACCTGCTAAGAGTCCATCTTCTATACCTACATTCCCACCTCATTCCAGTCCCAACCAGCCATTAATACAACATAGTACATGGTTACTTGGCAGACACACACGCTCATATAGCAACCGAAACCAGGGTCTTAGGTATGGTAAGTTATATCTCTGGTAGAAAAATAATAAAGGCATCTAGAAAGTCTTAGACATGCCAACTTATCCCAAGGGTTAGGAAAATTCAGATTTTGCAGTCCCAGGGAGGCAGGTCCAAAAACTAAAGATTACCCTAAAACAGAAGTCTTCTAATGCCTGGGAGGCTTCTGGTAATAGCAGGCAGCCGACAAGGCTTTCATGGGGATCATGCCTGCCACACAAGCTCTCTGGTCTCCCATCCCCGAGGAACCAAGAACCCCACACACACCTGATGACATCGCCTAGGCGTACGCGAAGGTTATTCCGAACAACTCTATTCATTCGAATCTTCTCATCAGAACATGTGTCATCAGAAAGCACAATGCACACAGCTTCCCGCCTCTTCTTTCCTTTCAGCAACACTGTGTCACCTCGGAATAACTGCAGCTCATCCATCTTGGGCTGAGGAAAAAAGGTGAAGACCTTTGGGTCACTGGGCCAGGGGATAAGCAGCAGTCCTGGAAGTTGGGATTCCCAGTAAACCCCACTCTATCTGTGGTCACTACAAGAGAAATGGGAAAAGAAACCTGGGGAAAACCCTTAAGTAACACAGTAAGGAAAGATTAGACTGTGGACCCAACATACCTGAGACAAGGACACAACACTGTTGTCCTCATTGATGGCTTCATCAACAATTAACCGATTGGGACGGTTCTTCTGTTTAAGAATGGCTGTTGACAAATCATCACCTTTTGAACTAGTAAGAGAAAATGAAGTCAGTCCCAATGCTCCATACCGTGACACAGGGGCCCCCACCAGTCTCTAAAACTCACATTTGGAAAATTAATGGTAAGACCTCCCTGGTGGCACAAGGGGTGAAGACGCAACCTATGAAGCAATCTGCAGCCACTGCAGCATGAGTTCGCTCCCCTGCCAGGGAGCTACCCCCATGGCGCAACAGACCTCTCCTGACTCCCCCCGCTGCTCCCCTCAGCAGTGTATTTCAGTCAGTCTGCCTATTCTGTTCCCCACTCTGTCTCTGGTGAATCCTCTCACCCCCCACACCTCTGGCCTGTACGCCAGCTCTTGTATGCATAAATAATCTTTAAAAAAAAAAATTAATAGTAGATGAATGAAACTGTCCCTAGACCAGAGCTCTCATCAGGAAATTCAACCAATGTAATGAAGTAAGTAGCACAGATTACATATTACAATTCCCATTCCATCGCTCTTGGTTTTCTGAGAACTAGCATGCTCATTATAAGGTTCCAAGTGATCCTGCCCAAGTGTCAGGAAACCATGGTCTAAGGAAGACAAAACAGAAGAGGAGGTTGACTAGCAGAGAAATTAAAAGTCTTAAGACAACAGAGAATAGAATAAAATAGAGGGGTTCTGTAGTCAGACCTGCTAGGTTTGAATCAACCCTGTCACAGCTTAACTGTAATCTTGGACAAATTATTCAACCTCTCGAGACACTGATGTCCTCATCTGTAAAATGGAGCTTATAGCAGTACCGACCTCAACGGATTATTGCCCTAAGTGAGATAACAATGTAAAACGTTCACCACTAACACACCTAACATATGGTAGTAATGGTCACTATGACTAATTACTGCACCAAGTGAGCAAGACAACGGCCCTTAGGGCTCAAGGAAGCCCCAGTTTCATTACGAAGCAGGATCATGAGCACCCCCCTCAATATTGGCTAAACCTGTCAAATGACAGAGCATCCTATGTACCACAGAATGCCAATCATTTTTTGAAAAGAACATTAACCGATCTGAAACATTCATCAAGAAGCTCAAACTCAAAAGGAGCTTCACAGTAATCTCAGCAAAGATACCTAACTCTATGGAGATGGTTCAAAAAGTTACAACTAGAAAATGCTGAGACATGGGGGAAGTCCAAATGGTGTCACCCAAATCAAGGTTGCCTGAGTCTACATTCAGTTAAAACTCTAAACAGTTTCTATCATTTACTAGAACTAATATCACTCACCCGCCACCAATTTCTTAACTAGCTTGTTTCCACCCTTCCTTAACTAGACTCAGTGGGTTCTCCCTTTGAAGGCTACCTCCTGTTAGTAAGGCTCAGGAAAACATGAGCATTAGCCAAAAGAGGGAGGCCAGACAAAGAAAGAAGTGAAGAACTAAAAGAGATCTTTTCCACGAATTATTTCTTCATTCAACAAATTAACGAGTATCCATTATATGCCAGGAACTGTTCTAGGACCTGGGAAATATGTCAGAAACAGAATAGTATTCCTATTGGAAACGTTTTCACAACTTGCAAGAAAAAAAGATGCTCTAGAATACCCCCTAAGGGGGTTACGGGTTCTTAATCTGATCCTGACACACTGAATCCCATACCCCACCAAAGTTGCTGATCTTTTCACACTGGTTTTATCTTTAATCGGGGCCTTCAAACTAGCTGACGAAAGTGGACTTTCCTCAGCTTCAACCGGCCTCCTCCAACCCAAAAGTGTGCAACCCAAAAACTCAGGTAGGCACACTCTTCCAATGTTCATCAACACCCTGGAGGGCAAGCACGGTCAATGTGACAGCCGAGGACAACATAAACCCATTAATTCTCTCACGCATCAAAATTCCCCATCTTCCTGCTTTATCTGTGGAACTGGGGCTGGAGAGAAATAAAATGACCCTCGTCCTTAAGGTGAACACTTTCACTCCCACATCCCTCTACTGAAATGCAAGCAAATCAAATCTTTTGAAGAAAGAATTCAGCCTGATTATGGGCCAGTGGCAGTTCTGGAGATTCTTGGGGGACATCCCCCATTGTCTCCTGAATGAGTCAGGTCCTTTCTAGAACCCCAGTGGGTCACAAGGGACTTGGAAGCAGTTCAGGTAAGAGTCATCAAGATGACGACCTAGAGATTAGAAACATGATGCCAGGTTGCAAGAACATTGTATTTTTACTTTTAGTCTGGAAAACAAAAGCCTGGATAACCTAGGGCAATGTTTTTTAGTCTTAGTGAAGTAGTCCTGTTAAACAGCTGACTAAGAAATACCTGCTCTGGACTCAGAAACTTGAAAAAAAGGAACACACGTCAGAAAAAAACAAAAACCAAAAAAACACACAACCGGAAAAAAAAAACAAAAAACAAAAAAAACCCCCTAAACTCTTCGGTGTCAGGAAAGTGATTTGCATGCAGTTTCCATAAGATGGCTGTGTCTTTTTTTGTCTTCAGCATCTAAAGCTCCACATTCTAAATTCAGGGGCAGAGCTGCCAGGTTTTATCTGACGCTTCCTCGGCGGGCGGCTCGACAGCGCAACAACTTCGGGGAGCGGGTGCGCGTCCGCAGAGCGCCGGGGAGCGCTGCCCTCCCCGCCACGAAGCCCGCAGTCCAGAAAGGCCCACAAAATACGAACTGAGATTTGAACTTCAGCAAGCACCTACCACAGAAGCCCGAGGAAAAGTTCCTTCCTCTCAGGCCCCGTTTCGTAACAGCGGGGAAACCGGCCCGAAGCTTTCCCAGCGCGACACGCGGGCAGAGAGTCGGGGCCGGCCGGAAGCGCAGGTGGGGCCGCCCCCCGGGCGCCCCCCACCGGCGCGGCCCCCGGACTCCGCCAGGCCGTGATGAGGCGCCCCGGGTCCGCCCGGGGTCCCCCGCTCCGGCCTCACGGCCCAGGCCTTCACGTGGCCCGAAGTCCACGCCCACCGGGCCCGGCGGGGGCGGCGGGTCCGCGGGGCCCGCTTTCCTCGGGGCCCCGGGCCTTCCGCGGGCGGCCGGCGGGCCGCAGGGGCGCGCCCCGGGGCCCCGGGGGCCGCGGCCGGCGGGGTGGGCCCGCCGCCCTCGCGAGGCCCGCCGGCCGGCCCGCGGGCACCCGGCAGGCCGGGCCGGGCCTGCATGACACAGCACGATCCGGCCCAGGCCCCGACCCGGGCCCCACGCAGGCCCCGCCTAGGGGGCGCGCGGGTGCGCAGACGGGCCCGGCCGGCCCGCGGCCCCCGGCCGCCCTCCCGCCCGCCTTCCCCCTCGCCCTCCGGTCTCCACAACCCCGGCGCGCCCGCGGCCCGGCCCGGCCCGGCCGGGCCTACCCGGCGCGGAGGTCCCCGCGCGCGCGCTCGCGGCGGCCGCGGGCGCGCGCACTCACTCTGCTCCGGAGGCCATGGCGCGCGCCTCTCCCGGCCGGCGGCTGTGGCGGCCCGCGGTAACGGCTACGAGGGCTGGCGGCGGGCGAGCGGCTAGGCCGGGGCTCGGCGGTCGGGGCCGGGGGCGGGCGGCGGCGGCAAACCCGCGGGCGGCCTCCCTCTCGCTTCCTCCCAGCGGCACCGGGGCGGCGGGCGGCGGGCGGGCGGGCGGCGCTGGTCCCGATCCGCGAGGGGGCAGCGGCAGCGACGACTCAAACGACGGCTGCGAACGCTTGGCGGAGACTGAGCCGAGAAGAGCCGAATCATCGGAAGGAGAGCTGCTCCCCCGCCGGCCAATCAGCGCCCGCCCTGCCGACGCCCGCCCGCCTCTCCGCGCCTCTCCCCAGCAACCCGCGGCCCCGAGCCAATCAGGAAATTCGCTGGCGGCCGGGCTCCCGCCTCGGCGATGCAACACGCCTAGTAACGCCACGTCCATTGGCCGCAGGGCTACGCTTCCTCGACGGATCGGGACTCCCGGCCAATCAGTGGAGGGAATGGGGCCAGAGCGACTGGCCAAAAAAGAGCCTTTAATCCTTGGGGGCGGTCTCTCCCACTTGGCTCCAGTTCATTGGCTCCTAATCTTATCCTGTTGGAAGGGCCTGGCACAATGGACTGAACTCTTGTGTTGATCTAGTGCTGTTGTAATAACTTACACACTCATCTTGTTTTCCAAAACCCGAAAGCCTCTCTCCTTATTCCTTCAAAACACGAGCCACCCCTACTCTGGACTCCTTGACCAGCACCCCAGCTCTCAATTCACTCCTGCCCAATTGTCCACGCACCCTCAGGCTTTAGTTCCTCAGGGGGCACATACTTTAGTTCCCCATCCCACAGGCTTTAGTTCCTCAGGGGGTACACACGTCCTCTCTTACCCGGCTATAGTATTATTCATGGCTGGAGAAGGGAGGGCACACAAGTCCAGAAAGGGGTCAAAAAGGCAACCACAGGACACACAGCACATTCAATGGAGCCCAAAGAGCAAGAGAATTGCACGCTAACTTGAAGAGCTGAGGCGCAAAGAGCCTGCTACACCATTTTAATAATTAGCTTTTAGTGGCAACCCCAAATTTCTAGAATTTGAGATTAGGGCAGGGATCTGAGAGTCTCAGTCACTCTAAGACTTCCTATTCGTCCCCTCTCAGAATCAAATATCTACCCTTGTACTGAGAGACCTGCCCAGAACACCTTCCAGACCCAATTCCACTCATTCTGTCATCTTGCACAAAATTCTAGCTCCCTGGGGTTCTGATTTTAGACAATGGGAAGGACTAAAGCAACTCCTTCCTGAGTAAGGATTCCTGCAGCCCTTTCTTCTACCCAGACCTCAAGATCATAAGGCAGATGATTTTGGGAGATGGCATCTTAGACAACCAGCACTCAAATGAATCAGGAAGCTGGGAAATTTTTCCCACTCAAGTATATGTAGTAGGCAGACAAGAGATAAATATAAGATTTTACTCAATACAACAAATGAGGAAAGAGAAAAAAGGATACCATGAAAAAAGTCAATGTCTCATTGATAATAAGGGCTTCCACTGGAACCAGAATGGCAATAACTAGGCCAAATTTCATAGGACTATCGCCAACCTCTCCAGTGCCAGACATATAGGAATGGTCAGCTACAGTCACATCCCCAAGAATGGTTAAAAAAAAGCCCACAGGGAGATGGCCCACTGGGGCCGCAGACTCTTAGAAACATGGCAGTTATAGGTCACAAGGCTCCAGCACAGATGTCCGAAGCTCTTCAAGAAGGGTTTCACGGTCAGGGGGATGGATCCAGCTCAAACAGATTTCTAAGTAGAGAGGGGGAGACCTGGAGAACAAAAAGGGTGATGTCTGAGTGAAGGACAGGCAGATGGATGGGCAGCCATTTCCTCCTTTTCATTCACTACCACCCCCAACAGGCCAAGAACTCCAGGATGGCAACTGCCCATCAGTCCTGAGCCAGCAGGCCTCACTCTTACCATGCAGCATTCTCCTGTGGCAATTCAGTTTGGGCCTCCAGCTTCCCCCAGAGAGCAGTGGCCTCATTCTTCCGATTCAGCCTTCTCAGAGTCTGAAGCAGGTGAAGGGAGGCATCCTGATTACCTGTAACCCCACCCCAGAGTACAGAGTCTTAGAACTTCACACAGCTTTAAGCATCATTTTATAAAAAAGGAAACTGAGGCCTAGTCTGGTTCACACATGGAACCAAGAGATCATTCCCAACCACTCCTATCCCACGGTCCCACTGTCTGCCCAGGACGAAAAGCTCAGCTGGCTCTGTTCCTTTTTTTTTTTTTTTCAAAGATTTATTTATTAATGCATACAAGAGCTGGGGTACAGGCCAGAGACACAGGAGGGTGAGAGGATTCACCAGAGACAGAGTGGGGAGCAGAACGGACAGATGACTGAAATACACTGCTGAGGGGAGCAGCAGGCGAGACAGGAGAGGTCTGCTGTGCCATGTGGGAATCTCCCTGGCCGGCCAGGAATCGAACCAGTCATGCAAAGGCTGCGGACAGCTTCACAGCGCTGCGCTTAACCCGCTGTGCCACCAGGAAGGCCCTGGCTCTGTTCCTAGCAACACATTGCCAGCACAAACATGGTCTTTGTGTTTGAGGGCATTGGGAAAGTTAAGGAACTCCTGAGAAGCCTTAATACACACTTATCTATGTCTTGCATATATCTGCACACTTTGGTATATCCCTGGGTATATGTACTATAATCCCAAGCACGCCTCCTAACTGGAAACATCACTCTCATTTGTCCCCACGTACCTCCCCCATGGCCTCTCTGTCCTTGGGCTTCTGCGCAAAGCTGATGTCATGCAAGTATGCATACCTGGACACATCTGCACACTGAGGAGGAAGTCCTGTAGGGCTTTGGTATCCTGGCCACTGGCTACCCATCCTAGTCCACGACTAATCAGGGCAGCAACACGAAGGTGTTGTAGCATCACATCAGATGTACAACCCTGCTCACATTTGGAAACTGGGCCTGGAAATCAGTCCAAAGTCAAGAAGTGTGTTTCCAGCCATAGTCCCCAAAACCCCAAGTACCCCTCTATTTCTTCTTATATCCAGAGTTGTTTTTTTAATCTCCTTGTGGGCTGGGACACATGGAAATAAAACTAACATTTACCACCACCACTTCCAGGAAGGAAGAAGAAAATTGAGAGAGCATAGATTACCTTGGTCTTTGTCCTTAGGTGTGGCCCGGAAGAGCAGCTCAAGGCACCTGAAGTAGGACATGGAACAGGGGTGAAGAAGAATCAATCTCAGAATCTCTGGGGTGAGCAGGTTACAATGGAGGTCACCAAATTAAGTCTCAATCAGAAAAGTATCCCTCCACACTTCCCCCAGAGCCCTGGTTGGCTTCCTGATAAAATCATTTATTCACCTGCTAAACTCACTAATGGCTTCTTTTTTGGCCCCCAGTTGCACCCAAGCTTGGCCCTGAAGCAGGTAGGTGGCAGAGACCCAGAGTGGGCAGTGTGATGACTCCTTGGTTCCTTTTTTGGCATCTTCCCACAGCCAGGGCATCTTGGGTAACAGAGACGATGTGCGGCCGAGCAGTTCCTCACATACAGTCAAAGCATCAAGGGCTCGGCCTGCTTGGATCAGCGCTGCAGCTGCCTCCAAGAATACGTCAGGCATACAGGGCCCTGGGAGGCCCGGGGGTGGGGAGAACTGGGGTGAAAAGAGGATACGGTGTTTTGAAAAGGGATGAACCACCATCCCCAATCTAGTCATGGTTCTGATGCCACAAAGAGACTACCCACTGCTTGTTGCTCTTACCCCTTGCTCTGGGAAGCACTCCTTGTCTGGTCCCCCACATTCGACAGCCTGAACAGCAGCAGAGAAATAAAATAACAGAAAACAGCAATCCTCTACCCCAGAGGGGACTCCAACCCTCCCATCCCAGAGAACCTTGAAGATATACCCACCTTTGGCACCGAGTCATCCAACAACAGGGCCAGCAGATCCAAGTAATGTTCTGCAGCATCCTCTGCCCTGAGGAGTCACAGCCCATGAGCCTGAGCTTAGGCCCTAATAGAGCCCACCAAGAGCTATTAGTTAACAGAAATGCTCAAGGACCCTAGGGAGGGGAGGATCCAACCCTGGCTCAGTATGGATCTACCTTACTTACACAATGAATTGGGAAGGAAACTTTCAGAGTTTTAAAGATACAGAGATTAATCTGGGTGAAGAGCCCTCAGTTCAGATTCAGGGGCAAGGTAAGAGGCTAAGGAGTAACGGTCTATCCTAACAACTCATCTATCCCTTAGACTTGCCAGAACAGAAGCAGAGGCACACCCAGAAGAGGTATCAGAGGTGAGAAGAAAAGCTCAGGTGAGGAAGGTGGAACTTTACCTTCCTGTTTGTAGGCATCGACTTGCTAGTAGGTACTTGGCTTGGCTCTGTGTGCCACAGTGAAGGGGTGAGGTTGGGTCAGGTTGTGGGAGCAGCAACTCTACCTCAATGAGAAGCTGGGGAGCTTGAGAGCTATGAGTAAGACTCAACGCCTAAAAAGCACAAAAAAAAAAGGAAGCTGGGTCCTCCCTGGTGGTGCAAGGGGTTAAGCGTCAGCACTATGAAGCTAGCAGCCACTGCAGCACGAGTTTGATCCCCAGCCAGGGAGCTGACCCACATGGTGAAGCAGACCTCTCCTGACTCACCCACTGCTCCCCTCAGCAGTGTATTTCAGTGGATCTGCCTGTTCTGCTCCCCACTCTGTCTCTGTTTATCCTCTCACCCCCACACTTCTGGTATATACCACAGTCCTTGTATGCATAAATAAATTAAATAAATCTTTTTAAAAAATAGAAGGAAGCATATTTACAATCTTTGGGAGCCATCCTTCCTTCTACTTACACCTGACTAAGTCATTCCAACATAAGCACCTCAGTAATCTTCCACCCTCTGTCTTCACCTTGCAGAGCTCCTTACCTCAACTAACAGCTCCAGACTCTCCAGCTCTGCTTCTGTGTTTCCCAGTTGTTGATAGAGCCTAGAGGCCTCCAGAAGTGGGAGACCCCAGGTTGATCCCCCTTTCAGGGCTGCAACCAAGTACAGCTGAGCTCTCTGTGGATTTCCCTAGAGGGATGAGAGTATACAAGCCTCAGTTATTCTCACAAAGCAGAAAGCTGTTCATAGCACCCACGGTTTTCCCAGCCCACCCCGGGGCTGTCCTTACCATCTTTCGGAGACAGATAGCCAGGGCTGTGTACACCTGAACTAACACAGGCCGTGGGCACAGACCTGAGGCTGCTTCATGCAGGCTGCTCAGTGCCTTGGGCAGGCTCCCACTGATAAGCTCCTGAAGGCCTGAGGGCAATCAGAGTGTGAGTTTAGAGAAAGGCAGGGGGCATGATGAGGAATAAGAGAAATTCCTTTGAGCTAAATGGGACATAACAGGGAGGGCATGAGCTCAGAGGACCCCTTAAGACAGGGAGAGGTAGTAAGGGACAAGTGGACTGTGAGCTAACCTTGGCGGTAGGCAAATGCTGTCAGAAGGACATCACGTAAGCCCCGAGCATCCTGCAGGGTCAGTGGGGCATCTGACTTCTCAGCTGGGGGACTCCACATTTTTAGAAGTAGGATCAGATCCTCTGAAGCCTCATTCTGGGAAGAAAAGGATGATCAGAGACTGTAATCACCCTGTCTTGTCTTATCTTAGTCTATCATGGTTGGACCCTGAGCTCAAGGATCCTCCTGATTCTTATTCTAACAGATAGCTGAAGGGCAAGGAGGAAAGGAGGAAGGAGGCAGTGGTGATCTATTGTAGTGTGGCCCTTCAATCAGGATAAACCCAGGAACACAAAGGGTGAGGACCAAGTTTGAGTTACTGATGAGTAACTTGCTGGCAGGTCATGAGAGCAAGGTCATCAGCAAGGTCATGAGAGCTCTAACCGTACCCAACATCATGAAACTATTTCAAAATCACTCCCAAAAGAATCCCCTAAATGAAGGACCACCCACAGCAAGGTAACCTGTGTCCCTAAGTCTTCTGACTACCAGCGCAGTAGCCTTTCCAGCACATCAGGTGATGTTACTGCAGCTAGAAGGGGCGAGGGGAGGGAAGAGACCATTAGATCCAGGTCACATCCCACATTACCTGACTGCTATTCAGGGTCTGCAGCAACAAGGTCAGGTCCTTAAGGCGGTCATTGACCAGCCAGAGGGCTGCCTGCAGGCCAGCCAGGTGATGCAGGATAGGGAGCAGCTCGGGCAAAAGGGAAGAAGCCTGGAACACAGAGTTCCACAGCCCCTTGACCCCATATTCCAGCTTGAGTCCCGGCTGCTCCTGGGTCTCCAGCACTGTAGAGTACACACACACACACACTTAGCCGAGATGGCACCTCATTTCTGGCTTTCCTTTTCTTCAAGAGCACAAAGATCACAAAGGCACCCCTCATCTGAGAAGCACATGGAGGATCTCTCCATGGAGTTGGCGGATTATACTGCCCCTCTCCCTCCCTTTGTGGGAAGTCAAACCCACACTGATTTTGGCAGGGGCAAAGAAGGCAATCTCTGCTTCTCACCTCTATCTAGACCCTGCTGGATATCCTGTGCCAGGTCCTCAACGAATCCCTGGGCCAGGCTTGCCCTCAGGGTAATGAAGTTGCAGGTAACAGTCAATTCCAAGGGAAGGACAGGAACAGTCACAGGGAGCCCTGGAACAACAAATGTGGCCCTCGCAAAAGGTCCCCCAAGAAAAAGTCCCCAAATTTGAAACCAAATTAATGATCACCATAACCAAAACAGTCTCAATAAAGAGCCTATCCTTTGGACAGACTTTGGACGTTGACCATCCTGAAACTTACTTCAAATGCCACGCGGTGCGTGCGTGCGTGTGTGTGTGTGTGTGTGTGTGTGTGTGTGTGTGTGTGTGTGTGTGTGTGTGTGTGTGTGGTGTGAACAGAGAGATTCCAGACCGGTATTTCCTCTGCCTTAAAAAAATGGCCCTCTGTCCCTTGATTAAACACCACAAATAGAGATGTAGAAGGACAAATTTCAGGCTGTGAAGGGGGGCTACTGACCTGAGGAGGGGCCTGCTTACCCTGCATGCTATGGAGGAGTCCCCTGAATCCTTCCAGTGCATCTTGAGCCAAATGCTGTCGCCTCAGAGGCAGACCAGGGGTCTGAGCCACCTGCCAAATGTGAGATGGAGTGTCATTTACCTCCCCCCCTAGCAACAATGCCAAGAGATGTCATTCTCCAGTCTTTTTCGGCCAGGGGAGGGGCAGGTGTCAACTCAGCGGGGGGGGGGGGGCAAATCCACTTAGAACCCTCTTTTTGAACATTTATGCATACAAGAACTGGGGTACAGGCCAGAAGTGCGAGGGAGGAGTGAGAGGATTCACCAGAGACAGAGTAGGGAGCAGAACAGGCAGATCCATTGAAATACAGCGGGCAAGTCAGGAGAGGTCTGCTGCGCCATGTGGGTCACCTCCCTGGCCGGGGATCGAACTCGTGCAGCAGTGGCTGGCACTGCTTGCTAGTGCTGACGCTTAACCCCTTGCGCCACCAGGGAGCCCCCCTCTTTTTGATATATTGGGACAAAGCGAGGGTCCAGCAGCTCGTTACCTTGGCCTGTTTAACTAGCTGGTCGTTCTTTTCCTTCCACAGGTCCAGGCAGTTGGCGTGCGGGGGTGAGGAGCCCAGAGGGGTCTGGTAGAACATGGTGCCTCGGCCACCTGGACGGGGTTGCTGAAGGATGGACGTCTGGCCCCGCCGAAGCCGCCGCCCGGGCGGGGCGCGGTCCCGTCGCTCGCGTGGGGGTCCCTGTGGAGACGGCCTGCCGCCCTCTCCGGGAAAGGCGAACTCGGCTCGCCTACCCGGGCGACCACCTGCGCCTCATTGGTGGGCCGGGCCGGCGAAACCCTCTTCCAGGGTTAGTCTCCGCGGCAAACTCGAAGGAAATGAGTCCAGACCCGCCAGTGAGAGAGCATGAGGGGGCCCAAGGCCGGCGGTGGGGGTGGCAGGGGGGAGCGCCGCGGTCAGGGGGTGTGCCAGGTTGGGGGCGCCGTGCGGCTCGCTTTCCCGCCAGCCCGGCGCGCGCGGGAGAACAGTCCGGAGCAATCGATCTCCGCGCGCGGCCGGGTCAGCCCCCGGCCGCAGCCACGCTCCCCACGCCGCCCTGGCGCGCGCGGGGCATTCTGGGAGTCGTAGTTCAGCAGAGCATGTCCTCGAGAGAGTCCGGTCCCGGCAGAGATTGTGTCCAAAAGGAAGGGACTGGAGACGGAAGCCCTCGGTAATCCGCCTGTCGGCCACCATTCTAGCACCTACACGCTCACCAGGCTGTTCAACCGCGTGTTGTCAGTGCAGCCCTGTGCTTGTGCGTTCTGTACTGCTTAGAGATACAGTGAAAGCCCAATTCTTTCAACAGTCGGAGCTAGGAGACTTGGATGCATGTATGCAAAATAACAAAACAAAACTGCGACCCTTGCAGTACATAAAATCAATTCAAAATGGGTAAATTGGGCTTTATTAAAATATTATGCTACCAAGACTATCAGTAAAATTGAAGAAAATCACAAAGTGTAAGAAGCTATTTGTACATCACATGCCTCATAGTGGACTTGTATCCACAATATGTAATTCTCAACAATAAAAAAAAAAATTTAAAAAAAAAAAACACTTTTAAGATGGGGGGAAAGTCAACGAATAAGAACCTTAAAAAAAGATATGCAAATGGCTAAGAAGCATAAAAAAAGAGGCTCAACGTCATTAGCCACCAGGGTAATGCAAATGAAAACCAAGAGATACCACTATGCACATACACATAGAATGATTGCAATAAAAAACACAGATAATGCTAAATGTTGGTGAAGCCATGTACCAAATGGAACCCTTATACTTTGGTGGTCTTAGCATAACAGATACAGTTAATTTGAAAAAGTTTGCCAGTTTCTTTAAGTTACTTATAAGTGGGCCCTCCCTGGTGGCGCAGGGATTAAAGACACAGCTATCAAATCAAGATATCGCCAACCACAGCAGGGAGCAATCCACATGGTGGCACAGCAGACCTCACCTGTCTCACCCACTGCTCCCCTCAGCAGTGTATTTATGCATACAAGAACTGGGGTGTAGACCAGAGGTGTGGGGGAGTGAGAGGATTCACCAGAGAAAGTAGGGAGCAGAACAGGCAGATCTACTGAAATACCCGGCCGAGCGGAGCAGCAGGCAAGACAGAAGAGGTCTGCTGCGCTATGTGGGTCACCTCCCTGGCCTGGGATCTAACTCGGTGTTGCAGTGGCTGGCTATAGCTTGATAGCACTGTCTTTAACCCCTGTGCCACCAGGGAGGTTCCAATAAATAAATAATCTTTTTAAAAAAGTTATTCATAAGTTTAACATAATATCCAGTAATTCTACTCCAAGAAATCTCCCAAAGAGAAATGAAGTATTTCTATAGCAAGACCTGTATGCAAACTTTAGCTTAAAAATATTCATAGTAACTAAAAATAGAAAATACAAGTATCCATCAAATGATCATAGGCATAGTGGAAAATGATCTGCAATAGAAAAGGGCAAAAAAGTGATAAACGCATCAACAAGCGTCTTAAAAATTTTTATTCTAAGTCACATAAGCCAGACCAAAAGATGACATATTACACGATAGCATGATTTCATTTATGAATTTCCAGAAAGGACAAATTTAAATGGAAAACAGATCAGTCTCCTGCAGTAGGTTTGGGAATAGTTGTAAACACAGTACCAAGATTTTGAGGGAAATGATGAAAACTTTCTTAAACTACATTGTGGCACCTGACAATGGTTTCTTACACATGCCACCAAGAGTAGAAGAAACAAAGGAAAGGGAAAAATTAAGATTAATTAGACTTCCTCAAACTTTAAAATTTTGTGCTTCAAGGACATTATGACAAAAATGAAAAAAGTCCAGCAAATGAATTAAATATTTGCAAATAGGGTATCTGATAAGGAATTTGTATCCAGAAATATAAGCAATCTATATAAACAATGCTTATAACTCAATTAAAAATTTTTAAAATCTGGACAGTTCTTCAATAAACACAAGAAGAGATGCCCAACATCATTAGTCACCAAGGACGTACAAACCAAAAGCACAAGATACCACTTTATACCCACCAGGATGATTAGAATTAAATATAAATGTTGGCATGGACGTGCAGAAAGTGGTACCCTAGTCACTGCTGGTGGCAATGTAAAACAGTATAGCACCTTTGGAAAATAGACTGGCAGTTTCTCAAAAAGTTAAACACACAGTTATCATATAACATAGCAATTCTATGATATACCACTAGGTATATACCCAAGAGAAATAAAAAACATGTGCAAATAAAAACTTATTTGTGAATATTCAAAGCAGCATTATTCACAATAACCAAAAAGCATGTATAACCCAAATGTCCATCAATGGGTGAATGGATAAACAAAATGTGACATATCCATACACTGGAATATTATTTGGCCATAAAAAATAAAGTACTACTAGTACATGCTGCAATATGGATGAAGCTTGGAAACATCAGGCTGAGTGAAAGCCAGTCAGAAAAGGCCACATATTGTATGCTCCCATTTATATGAAATGTGTAGAACAGACAAAAAAGAGACAAAAAACAGATTGTGGCTGTCAGAGATTGGGGACAATGCGGGTCAGGATGTGTCTATATATGAGTAAGAAGTTTCTTTTAAGGGTGATGGAAATGTTCTGGAATTAGATAATGGTGGTGATTGCACAACACTATGAATGTCCTAAATAAAGACCAGTAAACTGTACACTTTAATGTTGTATGAATTTTATCCGTCCCCAAAAAGAGGTAGTCATCCATGCCACTACATGGGTGTACCTCAAAAAACATTATGTTGACTGAAAGAAGCCAGTCACAAAAGCCTGTGTTTCTATAAAACTAGTCTACAATTGGCAAATATACAGTATTCTTCCCTTACCCATGGGGGAGATGTTCCAAGACCCCTACTGGATGCCTGAAACCATGGATAGGACAGAACTTCATATATACTACTTTTTCCTTCAATGTATGTCCTATACAGACCTACAATAAAGTTTAATTTATAAATTAGGCACAGTAAAGAGGTTAACAATAATAAAATAGAATAACTATAACAATATACACTTTAAAAAGTGATGTGAATGTGGTCCCTCTCAAAATAATTGTATTGTACCTAATATTTTTGGCCCCTGACTAACAGAAATCATGGAAAGTAAGAGTAGATGGGGTGGCGGGGAGAATGAGGACTATCATAGTCACAAAGTAGATGAGTAGTTGCCTCGGGTTAGGGGTGGAGATTGAGAGGGTTAGATGGTGCTAGAGTATCAGGTCTCATTTTGCATTGATGAAAATGTCCCAAAGTTGATGGTGGCAATGGCTGTCTAACTCTGTGAATATACTAAAAATCATGCAAATGTACTCATTAAATGGGTGAATCTTATGGTAAATTGTACCTCAAAAAAGCTCTTAAAAAATGGGCTCTTTGATGTCAAGTAAAAGGGGTAAAAATACTTAATAGTGTAAATCAATATAATATCTTTCTCTTAAAAAAATCGTGTAGATAGAAGAAAAAGGAAATAGACAGTGGTTGTCAGTTCAGGGAACTATCCTTAGGCTTCAGAAAAGGGATTCCCCCTGCAAAAAAGGTGGCAGGAGGCCTGACTAAGAAATAAGGTGAGGGGCCCGGATCTGTAGTCACTCTGATGGGAGTTGAGGATGGTCATTTTTATCCTTCTTACAAGGTCACTGCTCACTAAATGCTTAGTAGTTGTATCCACCAATTTAAAGGAGTGAAAGGGCTTCTCCTCACTCCTTTGATGGACATTTCCATGAGGATTTCTTGGCAGCATATCATGGCACAGCAGTAGTGAGGTAGATGGAGGACAAAGGACACGTGTATGAGGAATATTAGATTCATACAGTTTTGGTTTCAGGTCAGGAATAATCAGCAGAACAGGTGAAATGCTGTATAAAATGGGCAAGTAGTTCTGATAAAATGCAGCATAGATTGTTAAAAGTAGGAGGCCTCCAAAAAAGTAAAGGGCAAAGGGTGTTCTGGAGCAGAAGGACATAGTGAGGAGGAAAGAACAGTATCCTGGGCCTCACACAGCCTGTGTGCTGCACAACGCCTGGATGTGTCTTTTTAGCCACCTGTTATCCATCAAAGCATAAGAACTGAATACCTTGCATGGCAAAGGAAAATGATAGGAAGGAAATAAGAATGATATGGGAAGAGGCCTGGGAAGTGAATTCAGACAACTCCAAACATTTTCCAAAGGTTCTCAAATGTAATCAGGTCTGTATAAGATGGTTGATCCATGTGTGCCTGGTGGGAGGGGAGAATGACCCTTCCTCTGGCCCCTTATAAGGACAGTGGGAGCTTCCCCACATCTCAGACACACATATTTACATTATTATTTTATTCCACTTTGGAGGCCATCCCCCAGTCCCTCAGATGGATCCAAAGTAGGATTTAGGGATAAGACCCCACTATAATTTTGAATTATAAAATAATGAAGTCCCAGATGCCAGTAGTTCTTGGCTGCATGGTGGGAAGAAGTATAGATGAGCCTCTCTTGCAGATGATCCATCACCCATACCAGCCAGGCTAGATTGTTCTCTAGTTCTCCCCATGGCCAGGAACCAGCACCTGCACCTAGGCTACCTCTGCTGCGACAGAACTAGCTGCCTGAACCAGGAGCTCACAGCACCATCCACTCGCATCACCAAAGAGATGCCCAGGAAAAGTCCCACGCTGCTCACAATGAAGCCCACAGCCTCAAAAATGAACCTGCAAAGACAGGTGGAGGATCTCAAGGGACACTGAGAGTAAATCCAGAGTCTTTTCCCTGCAGAGGTAAAAGTGTCCACCCTAGATGTTCAGTCTTTGCTCTAGGCTTCACCCTCCCCACCACCTCTATTTCTTAAGCAAATCTACTCACTTGGGAGCAAACACCTTCCAGACCATGAGATGCCTGCGGAGGATGGAGGCTGCCAAGGCACAGGCCAGAATCTAAGGGAGGAGAAGGGGTTTGAGTTACTTGGGAAGGGGAGGAGGAAGTGGGTCAGAAAGAACTGCCATCAGCCCCTGTGAAGAAAGGGAGGAGCAGGGAAGTAGTGTGTGTCAGTGGAATAAAACCTGTACCAGGAGTTAGGAAAGCTGTTTTTTGTCCTGACTTACTGTGTGACCTTGGTCAAGCACTATCCTGAGCTGCTAATAGTCAGGCTCTGCCTCCAAGGGTAGAGGGAGATGTCAGTCACACCTTCTGCCTCTGAAGGAAAGGTGGAGGATCCATAATCACAGCTTGGGAAAGAATCCTGGCCATCACTTCAGCTTTTCCAGTATTTCCACTAATAGGGTAACCCTCAAATGCAATCTGATCTAGCTTGCTTACAGAGCGAAAACGATCCAAAACTAGGATTAAGGAGACTCAGGTTCAAGTCTTAATTCTGCCATTCACCGTACCTTAGTCAAGGCTTTCTCTCAGAGTTTTGGCCAAATATGAAAGATAGTTATGTATATATAAGAAAAAGTCACTAACGGGCCTCCCTGGTGGAGCAGAGGTTGAGCGCTGGGTTGCGAAGCTGCCCGCAGCCTCTGCAGCGCCGGTTCGATCCCCGGCTGCTCCCCGGGCACCAGAGGAGGGTCCCACATGGCGCGCAGACCTCTCCTGCCGCCCGCTGCTCCCCTCAGCAGTGTGCTTCGGTCCTTCTGCCTGCTCTGCTCCCCGCTCTGGCGCTGGTGAATTCTCTCACCCTCCCACGCTTCTGACTGTACCCAGTGCTTGTATAAATAAATAAATAAATCTTTAAAAAAAAAAAAAAAAAAAAAGAAAAAGTCACTAACTCCATGATCTCTCCCCTGCACCCACCTGAATACCAAGGACGAAGAGGTACTTGAGACCCAGCTGCAGCAATGCTGCATTGAAGTGGTGAGGTGCATCTCGGAGCCGCATCTCCATCAGTGGCTCCTCCTCCTCCTCAGGCCTGACTTTGGCCTCAGCTTCACCCCCTGGGGGCTGCCTCCTCTTCCGGGCCCCTTGACTCTCACACAGGAAGGGCCAGAGTAGCAGCAATGGACAACCTACTGCCTCGGAGGAGGGCAGGGCTAGAATCAATATAGGACCAGAGACCAGGCACTCCCACCTGACTCCCACCACCCTTGTCGGCTCAGGTTCCAGTTAGCACAGGCCAAAGGATGCCAAAGATCCAACAAAATCACACCACCCCACTCAAATCCAGAGGCTCCGTTTCCTTTCACAAAGCCAGAGGAAGCAATGGAAGCAAGGGAGGAAGGAGGAGTTACCTGCAAAGAGGAGATGGGAGGCAAAGGTGTTGGCTCCCACCAGCAAAGCAGGCAGCCAGGTGGATGAGTCATGACCCTCTGGGAATCCCACAAAGGCTGCGTGCCAATGGATGGCTGGAAAGACGGGCTGGTGGCCCGTGGAGTAGAAGGTCTGTGTGGCCATGAGGGCCCAAGCAGAGACTGCCTGCCATGGCACAGTAAAAGGACCTGAGGAGAGAGACATGCCTTATAGCCACATCCCATTCCCTAACTCAAAGCCCAGTACCCTCTGATCATCTACTCCTGCTGCTGCAGTGCTGATTCTTATATACAGCCACGCACCCATCACCCCAGCTGCCAGAAAGTCCACACTCTTTATTCTAATTCCTGTGGCACAAGGCCCCGTTATGCTAACAGACCTCACTGTGGTCAATCTCTTTCTGCCTCTCATATACACACAGCTTGCTATGATGTCATATACTCATAATTTGCCATTTTCATCACTGGAAAACTAGAACATGCACTCGGGAGGGTGCAGCATTTCCCTAAGAAATGAGTATGAAGAGAACTCCTTGTCTCCCAGCAGTGAACCCTGCTGACCCTGAGACCCGTCAGCCTGACTATCGCAGGTAAGAGAGGACACCAGGACAACCTTCCCAACTGTGTGGGGCCTGAGACTCTGAGGAACACCTCCCTGGAAACAAGAGGGGGCCGACTCACATCACTACTGTCCTTGGATCAATCAGGGTTGAGATAATGTATTTACCAGGGGTGGTGATGGGTATCCCAGCAGCAAGCAGATGCAGGAGAAGGAAGCTCTGCAGAAACAGAAGCAGGAACACGAGGCTAATGCGCTCGGCATGCAATAGCAGAAGTGGGAAGGCCAAGAGGGTGAGGGCCGTGACCATGGCTGCTGAGTAGACGCTCCCCAACTGATAAGCAGCCACAGTCAGGGGCCCCTGAGATTTGATCCTCTCTAGCCGGCCCCGGAACTCCTCTTGCATGTGTCGGTATATTTGAGGAACCACATAATCCAGGTCAGCCTGAGAAGTGGGAGGGCCTAAGAAGGGAGTGAGGACAGTCCTGGTCCTTGGCACCCCAGCCACGGCCTTCACCAGCACCGTCACAGGCCTCCAGAGCAGCAGCATGAGCCCTGAAGCGGCCAATCCTGCCACAGCCCTAGGCAGCACCACTGATGCCCCAGCGACGAGGGCCCGGAGACGTGGGGGTGCTTCGTCTGCCCCCGATGCCAATGCCCAGTAGGCAGCAGTGCCCAGTGCCATCAGGGGCATCCCCCAGCGCACAAAGAGCACAGAGGGCTCAGGACTCTTGAGATTGCCATAGCGGCGAAGCCACAGGCGCACAGCGGCTAACAGGGCCACCAGTGCCCCCACACAAGCGCCATACCACAAATTCTTAGCTCGACCACCCACCATCGATGCCAGGGGACTCAGCCATGGAGAGGAGCGGCAGGCAGGCGTCTCTTCAGGGCAGCGATGAAATAGCCCAGCTAGTCTTATACATAAAAGCAACCCAACTCCAAGCCCCAGGGCATGAGCGCCATTGTGCCTTGGGGTGCCTGTTGGGGCAGAAAAGGCAAGGCGGGGCATTGTGAGTAACTTAGCTGGCAGCAATTTGCCCTCCCAGTGAAGCTGGGCAATCAGGAGCAAGATAAGTGAGCCCAAAAGGAAGGGGGTAGCCCTGGCCTCAGCTACAACAAAACTATCAGAAAAGAGAGCAGCAAAGCGAATCAGCAGGAGTGACAGGACAGGCCCAGGGATGGGAAGCAGGGCAGTCAGGGGCCTCCTGGACCCCCAGCCAGGCCAGGTTTTCCACAGAAAAGGCAGAAGTGAGCCCACAGCAGCCAGAGCCCCTAGCACCACTGGATCTAGCATCAGTCCAGTAGTGAGCAGGAGTCCGGCACACACAAGAGCCCCAGCCAGACCCCAGGCCACAGGTTTTAAGAGGAGAGGCTGGAAGCAAAAGCTCTGGGATGTTGCCCACTGAGATACCAGCAGACAGAGAACACAGGCAGCAGCCAAGAGAGCAGCACCCCCTGCCATGCGGACCAGAGAGAAACGAGCCCAGGACTCAATGCACATGGCCCGAACTCCCCGCAGGAACTGCTGCAGCTCAGTAATCACAGTCTGGAGGGCTGCCTCAGCCCTCTGAGGGCTCTGCAGAAGCCGCTGATAGTCAGCAGAGGCCTTGGAGAAGAGGTTTTGCAGTCGATGAAGCTCCTTCACTCGGAGGTCCTGTGCCATAGTCGAGTAAGTATGAAGAAACCGGGATACCTGGCAGAACAGGTAAGAGGCGAAGGTGGTTAGAGATATAAAGTAGGACAGAAATAGGGGCCTCCTTGGTGGCAGAGGGGTGAAGTCTCAGCACTATCACCTCTATGGCCTGAGTTTGATCCCTGAGCAGGAAGCTAACCCACATATGGTGCAGCAGACCTCTCCCATCTCGCCCGCTGCTCTCCTCAAGCAGTGTATTTCAGTAGATCTGCCTGTTCTGCTCCCCACTCTCTCTGGTGAATCCTCTCACCCACACACCCCACCCCTCTGGTCTATACCCCAGTTCTATGTATAAATGAATAAATATTTTAAAAATTAATTAAAATAAATAAAAATAAAATTAATATTAAAAAATAAATATTAAAAAATATTAAAATTAAAGATAGGTTTTACCAAATGGGGTAACTGGAAATCAAAGGCCTAAATTCTGTCCAGGATTTGGTGGGTCAGGAGGACGTGCTAAGGATGGTATTAAAACTGAACAAAGGGGGCCTCCCTGGTGGCGCGAGGGGTTAAGCACAGCACTATGAAGTTATCGACAGCCTCTGCAGCGTAAGTTCGATCCCTGGCCAGGGAGCTACCCACATGGCGCAGCAGACCTCTCCTGTCTCGCCCGCTGCTCCCCTCAGCAGTGTATTTCAGTCAATCTTCCTGCTCTGTTCCCCACTCTGTCTCTGGTGAATCCTCTCACCCCCCCCACACCTCTGGCCTGTGCCCCAGTTCCTGTATGCATAAATAAATAAATCTTTAAAAAAAAAAACCTGAACAAAGGACACTGTGCTCTCCCATGACCACCCTAGCTCTGTCACCTGGAAGTCACACCCATTACCTACCTGCTGGGCATTGAGATGAAGAGCTGAGGCTTGGGCAAGAGCAGAGGAATGAAGCTGGGAGTCTTCAACTTTTGAGAACAATTCAGTCATCACCTCTCCAATGTTCCCAAATGGTATGGGCAGGCCCAACAGCAGGGCCAGCGTTGGCACTAGGTTGATTTGAGGAACTACCTCTGGCTCCTAGAGGATAAGGACAAAGTCAGCGGGTTCTCACAGGGCTGCGGTCAGTGTCTGAGATGGAAGACATTAAGGGCCTAAGTAGGAAATGAGCCCAGGTAATGCCCAGGATCATGAATTTGGAGGCCTAAAAAGGAGGGATCCACAAGGATGCTGGGATCATGCTGCAGGTTGAAAACTTGGAAACCAGACAAAGCACACCACAGGCCTCACCTCTGGTGGGGTGCTGGGGAAGAGGGCTGTGGGACTGTATAGAAAAAGTGCAGCTGAGATCTCCAGCTCACTGTCCCCTCCGTGGTCCCCATTCATGGTCATGCCATGGTCCCCAATCACCACCAGCAGTGTGTCATTCTCCAGACGCTCCACAAGTCCCCTAGGAGACAAGAAATATGTCAGGATGTGGGGATGGAAAAGGTTTTTCTTGGGTGCTCATCTCATTCAGCCCTAGTTATAACTTCCATTAGTAGGACGAGACACCTCTTTGGTCATGACCCACTGGTCAAAACTACAGGCTGAGTTACTCAAGATAGATGAGACCCCTAGCTTCAGAAAAAAGGCCCAGAAAAGACAGAATTCAGTCAGAAAAGATAAAAGATAAGCACTTTATCTCTTGGGACCATATATCCTGAGAATCTCACACACAAACCCACTCCCCCAGCCAATATCCCACACTCACTGGATCACCTGGTCCATCTGGCTAAGTTTCTTGGCCATCTCAGGGTGGTGAGGGCCATGTTTGTGGCCACAGTGATCCACACCCAGGAAGTGAGCAATCAGCACGTCCCATTCACCACTGTCCACTGTGAAGGGGAGAACACTGAGCACAGGGGACAAAAGCCCGCTCTTCAACCCCAGCCAGGCTCTGACACTCCTATGTCCAGGTAAACAAGTCAAGGTCATTACACCCACTGGCGGCTCAGAATATGTGGCCTGAGGCACCCCGCCCCAGCGCCCAATGGTAGTCAGGCCTGCCTCTGGCCCTGTGCTCACTGGTTGGGTAGAGGTGTTCCAAGATGCCATTGTCCACTGTGTGTAGGTCTCTGACATTGAAGGATGGATAGAAGAAAGCTTGGGAGAAAGCTCTGGGAAAAAGATCTTTCCAGGTATCATCTCCCATGAAGACTACACGCCTTCCTGCAGAGACATGAGAGTAGATTATGGCCGCAGCAGGAGTCAGGGCTCAGGAAAAGAAAAGAGGAGGTTCTTCAAAGATCTGTCAGAAATCCCAACTGCATACTCTAAGGCAAAACAATTCCAACTAGCAACTCTTTATCTTTCAAGGTCTACAATTTTCTTCCAGTAAGCTTTCTCTGATAGTCACATTCTACTCAGACCTTTCATTCTTTAGTCCAACAAAAGGCCCTGCTAATTTTCAGTCCCTGGCTATCTCTGCTGCTGTTTTCCTAGGCATATCTTGTTTTTTCCAAGTAAGTGAGTGAGTGGACAGAGTCTGGGTCTCTCTGCTCACTCCTCCACACCACAGAGTAGCAGACCACACATATTCTCTTCAACTCTCCTGCCCCTTTACTGGGCGCTCCCTCAAAAATAAAACCAACATACAGACTAGAAACCCCAGAAAAACAAAGCCCTGACTTGCACTCCTTGCATTCAGGGCCCTGGTCTCTTTCTTCTCCCCATGCCCCCCACACAGTCAAATGTGCAGCTGGACACCCACAGTTCTGGTTTCTAAAGAACTTCTAAAGAAGAAATCTGCCAAGGTCTCCAAGTTAGTCCAGACTAACCTGCACTGGTGAGCTGCTTGATCAGATTGTCTTCTACTATGGCATAGCTGGCAAAGTTACTGCCAGCATCAACAAAGGTGGGCAGTGAACCAGTGGTGAGAGCCTTAAGGCGTTGCATGGTGGTGGTAGGAGGGTCAGCTTTAGATTGGTAGAGCCTGGCATGATGGGGCTGAATCTCCAGGATCCTCTGCAAGGTGCCCAGTTTGCCCAGGAAGGGCAGAGAGACAGGAGGCGCCCCAGGAACTTGTGAATGCTGGGGCTGGGCGAAGTCAAATCGTAGAGCATCAATCAGCACTAACACAACTCTGGAGAAACGGGAAGCCATCCAGCAGGCCCCTGGCTCCCCCTGGCTTCTCCATGGCAGAGACCCAGGGCCTGGGAGTTCTTGGCAGCTGCTATGGTTGGTGAGCTCCACACGGGTGAGCAGGAAGCCACTGGTGAAGAGGGCAATGCCAGCGTAGAAGAGGAAGCTGACCCAGGCCAGGAACAGTAGCACTGAGATCTTCTGCATCCTGGTGGTGGCAGGGGCGGGAATTCATCACTGTAGGGCAAAGAACCAGTGGGTATTTTGGTCGCTCATGACAAAGCCCGCCTAGAATTACTTCCTCTTGGAAGTCTTCCTGAAGATAAACAGTCCCACAACCAAACAATGTAATATTCCTCTCCACCAGTTATAACAATGTTTCTGAAGTCCAGCGCTGCAGACTATGGGCATCCACTTGGAGCGGCAGCTTAAGATGCCTATTTCCAGGCCTCCCCTGTGGCGCAGCAGGTTGAGCACAGTGCTATGAAGCTGTCCGCAGCCTCTGCAGCGCGGGTTCGATTCCCAGCCGACCAGAGAGATACCCACATGGCGCGGCAGCCCTCTCCTGCCTCGCCCGCTGCTCCCCTCATCAGTACTTTCGATCCGTGTGCCTGTGCTGCTCCCCGCTCTGTCTCTGGTGAATCCTCTCACCCTCCTATGCCTCTGGCCTGTACCCCAGCTCTTGTATAAATAAATAAAATCTTAAAAATAAATAAATAAAATAAAATGCCTATTTCCAGGCCCCAGATCTACGGAAGCAGGATCTTTGGGGGTGGCGCGCAGGAATTTGCACTTGTATTCCTGGGGATCCTAAGGCTGAAAACCAGTCCACGAGGGAAATTTATTCCAAGTGGAAAGATGTTCTGGGAACGCCCGTCTCTCCGCCTGTCTCCACGCCAGTCTCAACACCCCAGTGGCGGCCGAAGCTCACGGCCTCCGGCAGAGGACGCCGCCTGGCGGGGACCGAGGGGCGCAGGGGAGGAGTCGGCTCCGCTTCCGGACGGCCGGGACGCCCGGGGACCCGAGGCGCCGCCCCCCGCCCGGCAGGCTGGGGCGCCGGTCTCGAGCCGGCGGGGCCTCACCAGAACGCGGGCGTCGGGCGGCTCGGCCTCCTCCGGCGGCTGCTCGGCCTCCACAGACGCACCCTGACCCCGGCTCTGCGCGCCCCAGGGTGCCAGCCGAAGCGGGGGTCCTGCATCTCACTTCTGGGAGAAGGGGCTTGGGAGACCCCGGCTCACCTTGAACAGCGCCCGGAAGTGCAGCGGCCGTGCCGGCTGCCAGACACCACAGAGGTGCGAGCGCGGGGCAGAGCGGCCCGCCGGCGCCCCGGCGCCATCTGCCGGCGCCTCGGGGCAGTGCGGCGGGGAGCGCAGGGCTTGCCCAGGGGGGCGGTTTGATGAGAGGTTATGGTAATCAGGGGTGCAAAGTGGGGACAAGGGACTACACTAGGAGAGGTCAGGGAACCACTGTCCATTCTTGGTTAAGACTAAGGATCAAGCCTTAAACTTAACTTGAATCCTTGTTCTGCCATTTACTGTTATTTCATTTGCTTTTCTGTAAATAGGGATAAATGACACTTATTTCCCCCTTTTTGCTAAGCTGATTCCCACTGATCGTCTATTATTCCTCTTCTCCAAGTTTCATTGAAAATTACAATTCAGTAACAAAAAGACAATCCAGGGCCTCCCTGATGGTGCAAGGGGTTGAGACACAGTCTGTGAGGCTGTCCGCAGCCACTGTGGCATGAGTTCAATCCCCGCTCAGGGAGCTACCCACATGGCACAGCAGACCTCTCCTCCTTTGCCCGCTGCTCCCCTCAGCAGTGTATTTCAGTCAGTCCACCTGTTCTGTTCCCCACTGTGTCTCTGGTGAGTACTCAACCCCTGCACCTCTGGCCTGTACCCCAGTTCTTGTATGCATAAATAAATCTTTAAAAAAAAAAAACAGCTAAAAGTGGGCAAAATTATATAAAGATATGTGACCAATTAACATGTGAAAAGATGTTCCACATCAATAAGCATTAAATCAATAAGCAGAAAATATGGAGGTGTCACTTTAAACCCAGTAGGATGACTATAGTCACAAAGACAAATACGTTTTCTTTTTCTTTCTATTTTTATTTTTTTTTTAAGATTTATTTTATTTATACAAGAACCGGAGTACAGGCCAGATGTGCAGGAGAGTCAGAGGATTCACCAGAGACAGAGCGGGGAGCAAAACAGGCAGACTGAAATACACTGCTGAGGGGAGCAGCAGGTGAGACAGGAGAGGTCTGCCACGCCATGTGGGATTCTCGCTGGGCGGCTGGGATCGAACTGGTGCTGCAGAAGCTGCGGACAGCCTCACAGTGCGGTGCTCAACTGCCTGCGCCACCAGGGAGGCCCAAGTTTTTTTTTTTAAAGATAGATTTATTCATGCGTACAAGAACCTGGGTACAGGCCAGATGTGCGGGAGGGTGAAAGGATTCAGCAGAGATAGAGTGGGGAACAGAACAGGCAGACTGACTGAAATATGCTGCAGAGGAGAGCAGTGGGCGAGACAGGAGAGGTTTGCTGCGCCATGTGGGTATCTCTGTGGCCAGCAGGGATCAAACCTGCGCTGCGGAGGCTGCAGACAGCTTTACAGCACTGTGCTCACCCCACTGCACTACCAGGGAGGCCCTGACAAATAAGTTTTGTCATGGCAATGGAGAAATTCAAGCTTTCATACATCTGCTATTGGAGTTGTAAAATGGTGCAGCAGCTTTGGAAAACAGCCTAACAGTTCTTCAAAAAGGTTAAAAACAGAGTTACCATATGACCCAGCAATTCCACTCCTTGTTACATACCCGAGAAATGAAAACATGTCCACACAAGAAATAGTACATGAATGTTCATCATCTGGCACTATTCCCTAATAGTGGAATATTGTTTGGCCATAAAAAGGAATGAAGTAGGGCCTCTCTGGTGGCGCAAGGGAGTAAGATGCAATCTATGAAGCTATTCGCAGCCACTGCAGCAAGAGTTTGATCACTGGCCAGGGAGGTGACCCACATGGCACAACAGACCTCTCCTGACTCGCCCACTGGTCCCCTTAGCAGTGTATTTCAGTCAGTCTACCTAGTCTGTTCCCCACTCTGTCTCTGGTGAATCTTTTCACCCTCCACACCTCTGGCCTGTACCCCAGTTGTTGAATTCATAAATAAATAAATCTTAAAAAAAGAAACGAAGTACTACTATATGGACAAACCTAGAAAACATTTACAGAATGAAAGAAGCCAGTCACGAAATACCACATATTGTATTATTCCATTTGCATGAATACAAAAATCTAAAGATAGAAAAGACTGATGGTTGCCTAGGGCTGGGGGCAATAACTAATGATTCATTAGAATGACTTCTAATGAATATTGGTTTTTTTGTGGCAGGGTGGGAGGAGCAGTGATGAAATGTTCTATAGTTGTGATGGTTGTACAACTGTGAATATACTACAAGTTATTGGGTTCACACTTTAAAAGGGTGAATTGTATTGGATGTGAACTTTCTCAGTAAAGCTATTAAAAACAAAATAAAAAAATCTCCCCATTAGCTTCCCATTTCAAAGTAAAGAGTATGAGTATGTTCTTAGGGTGGTCCTACAAGTCTCCATACCCATTACCTACTTCCCTCTTATTTAGCAGTCACATCTTCGCTTCCTTAACTCTGTGCTTGCTACTATAGTTCCTCTGCTCCTCTAGTTATAAGGGCCCTTGTCATCTCCTGCCGGCCCTCCTTCCAGAGGCCCAAATGAGTCTTTCTCTCATCTCTATTATATTACATATTATATATTATATCTCTGTTATATCTCTATATACAGATATAACACCCATGAGGCTTCCTGGAAATCCTCTGCTTGATATTACAATTCTCCACTTCCCAATTCCCCATCTCCCTCCCTTTTTTAAATGTCTTCTATCACACAACTCACCAGTATTTGAAATATTATACATCTTATTAATGGTCTGTCCTTTCCAACTAGAATATAAGCTCACTGAGAGGATGGAATTTTGTTTTCTTCATTAGTATATCCTCAGAGCCCAGCATAAAGTTGGGTTCAACAGTTATCAAAAGGAGAAATGAATGCATTCTAATTCAGAAATGCGTAGAATAACTTTCCACCTCCATTCTGATGACCCCTATTTCAATCCAGGTCACATCACTCTCCACGATCTCTAAGGCAGCCTTCTTATCTTCAGCCTCCCATCTCTTTCAGTTCACCTGTCCACATTGCAAATGGAAAAATCTAAAACAACAAATTACCTTAATCTTCACATTCTTCATGGGAAGGGGACAAAACCCTTTGTATTCCCACCATCACCACCACCACCACCCCCTCCCACGCCAAAGGATAAAGTCCAAACTTTCTTGTCTCCATCTCTCTGTGTTGTGCCCCTTGCCATATATCACATCCCCGACACCCCACAACTCAACCGCAACGATTTTTCAAATATTCCAACCTCTCTAGGACCTTTCTTTGCAGTCTAGTTCCAAACCCTAGCCAGGCAAATATATTAATTCTTCCAGCGTGAGCTAGTGGCAGCTGGCAACCTTGCTGCCCATAAGCTGACATGCTCTTTCCCTCTCAGCCAGAACGGTCCAGTCACAGGACTTAATACTTTCTATCTCTGTGTGTCTCCCCTTCAGACTTTGTATTCTGTGAAAGCGGGGGCAACTGGGTCTTTTTTTTTCTGTCCCTCCCCACCATGGACCTGTTATTTTTGTCGCCCCATGTCTAACACTGAGCTTGGTAGATGGTAGGCATTATGAAATGTTTTTGAATGAATGAGTATCCTCAGTCCCTGAAGAGCCTACAGTACTACCGTCCAGGATAGTCCTGTTTTCCATGAAAAATCACCCCAATTACCTACCTCAAATTCACAGTCCCATTTAACAGAAGGGGACACTGTCCAGCTGGCAGTAGACACCCTCTCCCACTGTTTCTCAGAAAGGATGATTTCGCTGTGCATGAGTTTCCTTTTGCTCACTGAAGAGTCAGCTTCCATGACCCGATGGCTGGAGGGTGTGAGTGGACAGCCAAGGAAAACACTGGTGACTTTCCCAACTTCATTCCCCAATCAAAGAGGACAGTCTCTCGTTTGTCACTGATGAGTTTATTACATGATTAAAGTTCAAATAAAAAAATAATAACCAAAATCTCGACAGGGAGGTTAGAACCAGAGTCTGGGAGTGCTGCTTCCCTGTCCCCAGCCTCCCTGGCCAAACCCAGCTCCATTAACTCAGCTTGAATCGATCAAGCTCCTCATCAAGATTTGCATCTGTGCCCCGGCCATCTCTGTTGCTTCCACTGGAGACTGAGTCCTGGGCCCCTGGCACTGGAGTTTTGGTGAGGGCCCCATACACTCCCATGGCCTGAGGAGAAGAACAAGAGAGAGCCATGAGGACACATGGCAAAAGGTGTAGCACAAGTCACCAAGGGCTAAAAGGAAGGTGAGGCTGGGCCGGTGAGCTTGTTTTTCCTTTTCCCTTGAGTCTTAACTGTTATAAGCTTTATCATCAGATCTAGGAATCTTACAAACTACCAGGGCACCCTCAGAATATTGGTACAGGTATGTGAAATTAATTAAAAAAATAAGGGAATCTCAAGGACATCCCTTATCTGTGAGTGAGGCACTGTCATTCCTAGGGGCTTGTGCATTAGAGGGAATGAAGGGCGATCTGGGTCTCAGGGCACTCAGCAGGACTTTATGATATGTAAGTGGTGATGATGGTCACGGGGTCTCAGTCTCTACTGGGTCCTCTAACCTGAGCCACCATACTGGTGACATCGCTGGGGTTGGAGGGCAGCAAGATAGTGTTGGAGTCCTTGGCCAGTTTGGAGAATGCGCTGACATACTGCTCAGCCACAGTCAACGAGGCCGCTGCATCTCCATTCTGTGGTTAAAGGAGGGATAAAATCAAAGATCACAGGTTGGGGTTTTGCAGGAGAGGAGGAATCAGTTTCCTGGGAAGAGGATATGCAATATCCTCTTATCACAATACAAGAGATTATACAATCTGGCTCAATGGAACCCACAAAGGCAGGAACTTCTCCCAAAGGTAGATGATAGAACCTCTCCCACTGTCAATTCCTGTCCCCCACTCCCATTTAGGGGCCTCTCACATGTTGTGTCAGAGCTGAAGCCAGGATACGAATAGCTTCCGCTTTAGCCTTGGCCTTGGCCAGAACTGCACTGGCCTCACCTGAAAGAAAAGAAATAGAGCTTGGCTTAACCCGAAGCTTGACAGGATCCCAAAGCTCCTGTCTCAGCACCAACCCTCAAAGCACCATGCCCTGCCTCCTCCCTCAGCCTTGACCTGCTGACTCTGCTGACCTGCTGCCTGATTTATTTGTTCAGCTTTTTCTGCCTCAGAGGCCAGGATCTGTGCCTGCTTCTTTCCCTCTGCCACGTTGATGGCCGACTCTCGGGTCCCCTCAGACTCAAGAACTGTGGCCCGTTTCCGACGTTCTGCCTCCACCTGCAAACCCCCAGAAACCCCCATCAACAAGAACCCAGGGTAAAGTCCTACATAGAGCTATAACTGTACCCATTACAATAAGAAAGGGAGTCCAGTTCCCTATCTGACTGGAGCATCCTGAAGTCCTCTTCCCTACCCCTCCCTAGCTCCCACCTGCATCTGCATGGACTCTTTCACCCGGGGTGGCACATGGATATCCTTGATCTCATAACGGAGGCAGCGAATGCCCCAGCAGTCGGCAGCCTGGTTGATGGCATCTACAATGCTGGCATTCAGGGACTCCCGCTCCTAGAAGAAAAGAAATGCAAGCTTTATTGTATGAGTCTCAACCAACCATCTCCCCAGAAAGGAGAGAAAGTGCCAGTCCTGTGCCTTCAAACCCTTACTCTGGCTCAGATCTCCTTACCCGGAAGACCTTGTCCAGAGAGAGTTTGCCAAGCTCTGATCTCATGGTAGTCTGAGCTAGCTGGGTGACAGCATACTCAGGGTCCTCCACTCCATAGCTTGCCTGAAAGGGGCATGGATAGTGTAAGAAGCTTGGGTATAGAATTTCAGTAAACAGAACAACTCAGGAGCTGAATAAAGCAGGGGCAGATACCTTGTAAGGGTCCATGATTCGCAGGTAAAGGACTCCATCTATTTGTAAAGTTACATTGTCTGCAGGGGCAGGAGAGAAAAAGTGTAAAGTCAGGCCTCTAGGTCCCAATCAGCTGTTTCTCCTGAGCTCCCAACTTTCAGCAACCACATCCTAAAGGCCTCAGACCACCCGTGTCACCCTGCACCCCTCACCGAGAGTCACAGCCGACTGCTCAGGCACATTGATGACAATTTCCTTGAGACTCTGCACATATCGGATCCGGTCTAACACTGGAATGAGGATGTTCAAGCCCTTGGGAAGAGGAGTCATGGATACTCAGAATGATGGGGGCTGTAGGGTTGGGATCCAAGCTATGCCTGGGGTGGGTAAGGAATCAACATATGGAACATGGCCAGAAAAGCAGAAGGTTGGGGGTATCACTGTTAGGGAAGCCCAAAATGATAGGAAGGTAAGGCTGAGGATCTGAATGTAAGGGAGAATCAAGGGAATGGGATCCAAGAGTGTAGCCTTCTCCCTGCAGACTGTGGAGCTGAGAAGTTGAGTAGGGAACATTCCAATAAGGCCGGTGGGGTGCTAAGACAATAGGAAATGTGGTAGCATGGGAATGACGGTCAGCAGCCTGGATCCTGCCAGGTTTGGTCTGGGGCGTTGGAAGTAAAAAGTAAGGTCAGGCCTCACGCGCAAGTCTTGAGGGAATTGGGCATCAGGTTGGCCCAGAGAGGGCAGGAGAGGTTCTCACAGGCTCCAGAATTCGGTGGAATCGGCCCATTCGCTCCACCACCCAGGCCTCCTGCTGGGGCACAAACAGTATCACGGTGTTTCGGGGCAATCCAGAGGAAGCGCGGCGCGGAGCGAGGCCAGAAGCCTGCACGGAGCCCTGAAGAGAAGAGGAGGGTTAGCAGAGACCCCCGGCGCGGGTCACTCCGCCCCGGAGGCATCTCCCCAAAACGCGACTCTAAAGGATCTTCGGAGAGGGTCACACGTGGGGACCATGAACTCTGACCCCAGTTCTCTCCCCAAACGTAGAATCCCGCTCGTTTCCCCCTTTGGACCCGGGTGATCTCTAGTCAGACCCTACGAGAGGGTCGCCACGCTCTCACCCTCAGCAAAAGGGCCCCAGTGCCCCGCGCCGCGCGCGCCAGCATTCCCACAGCCGCAGCGACCTCCGGAACCAACGAGACGCGGGGCGGAGCGGCCCCTCTAGCTAGACGGACCACAGCCGCTCCGCTCGTGTTTCCACTCCCCCGGATGTACTTCCGGCTGTCCTTCCCGGGTCCACGCTCAGCCAATCAGCGTTAGGGAGCAGAGCGCGCATCAAGTTGTTCCCTGGGAAACGCAGACCTAGAAAGGGCCCAAAGCTGGAGTATGTTCTGGGTCTCGCAGATCAAGCCCACTACCCCGGACTTGGTGAACTAAATGGAATCTATTTTCCGCCTGCAGGTAGCCAAGAAACACCTCTCACCGAATTTTTTATTCCCACCTGCGTCTCAGTTTACCCTTCTGAGCGTATAATCGCCCCCCATCTGTCACCATAGCGACCAGGGGGTTGGCGCTGACTCGTTGCCATGGTTGCCATAGTGACTTTCTTCGGTAGTCCTGCTGCGCTGTGCCCAGCCCTCCCACTGGGGACTGACCCCATTCCCGTTGCTATGGTGACCGGGACTAACTTTGCTCGGTGATTGGACTGGTATTTACCCCTCCCCTCTTTCCCCAAGGCACCATAGTATTTTCTATTTCTTCTCAGTCAGGGTCTATTAGTCCCAGTCTACTTGCATACAGCGCCCCAACGTTCATCCTGGTCTGAAGAATCTCTCTGTACACACGTGCCTGATGCTCCGGTACATCCTCTAAGAGACTTGCATACCTGTCAGGGCACTGAAGCTCAGAGCGGCTGAAATTATTAGCCACTGAACTAGTATCAGAATCCAAATCCACATATATAGGGTTCAACTTTTATGGCTGAAACTTTCTCAACACCCCACCTCGTTATCTGAAGAGCAAGACCAGGCCATAAGAATCAGTAGGGCCTCACCTAAGACATCATATCATGGTCTCAGGTCTGGTACCTCCTTCCTAGACAAAAGGGCAGAGTCCCAGCTTCAGTGAGGGCTTCCATCCCCACCCATTCCCATGATCTCCCCAACAGAAAAAAAAAGTAGAGCTTAGTTCAAGTTTCCAAACAAGAATTTATTTTTCTAAAAAAAAGTACCAGGTACAATTTTTTCCTGTTTTTTTTTTTTTTTTTTTTTCAAGTTTCAGCAAATGCTTGTTCCCCTCAGTTCAGCCCCAGGAGTCAGCTCTGAGGCTGGGTCAGAGTCTGGAGTGGGAAATGGGGTAGTTGGAAACCACATGACTGAGTTTGAGGGGTACCCCTCACCCCAGCTGAGGTAGGTGGGTCAGAGTCTGGCCAGATGAGAGGAGGCACCCCAGTCCTTGGCCCTGACTCTGTCCCTGAATACCTTCCTCAGTCAGGACCCCAGAGCAAGGAGACACAGGCAGGAAGAAAGGGACAACTAGAGCCTGGAACCCTAGATGAAGGGTGTTAACCCCCGGGTGTGCGTGTGAGTGTGCATGTCTCTCTCACACACACACGCACGCACACACGCATGCACACTTCTGCATACACACACACACACAAATTGGCTTTCAGAGAGGAATCACAGGGGAAGTGAAAGGAATAGAAGCACAGGGGAAGCTGAGTCTTTGGCTAGTGACTCAGTCCTTCTGGATAAACTTTCTGTCCTCAAATGAGGGAGAGCAGTCCTTCCAGTTCCTACATCAGCCTCTACAACTCCTAAGGTTAGATCAATATCTGAGAGTGAGAAAGGAGGAGGGGCAATGCCAATTTTCAGGTTTGGGAGGTTACCAAGGCAATCCAATTTGAATAAATTATAAATTAAAAATAAATAAAATAATAAGTGGCCCCTGCCCAGGACAGGGAGGCAACGCTGGCATGACTTGCCTGGGAATATGGGATAACCTCAGAGTAACTCAGGTTCCTCCCCACTACCTAAGCTGGCTTGGGAAATCCAAGGGAGGGGGCAGGCATGTAGAGTACCCAGAGGTGGGAAGATGTGGTAAGGATCAGACGCTTTAAACGCCCAAATAATCAATTTGGGCATGAACATGGCAAGGGCTTTAATTCAAGCCTGAAGGGTCTCTCGCCGCCTCTCCACGTATTTGCTCTGTCCAGGATGGAGCAGGATGGGCAGGTCCTTGGCCCACATGAATTCAGGGTCCTGGCAATCAGGGCAAAGGTGAATAACGTGGATTGTGAGGGGCCTCAGTCACAGCCTGCAGTTCATAGGGGAGCCCTGTGTCCAGTTCCAGGCTCCGGCGGGAAAAAAGCAGGCGGATGTCTCCATGTAGGCTTAAGCGGCCTGAGCGGGAGCTCCGGAACCTAAGGGAGGACAGGGTGGTCAAAGTTAGAAATCAGACAGTAGAGAAGCAAAGAGATCCTATCCAGGAAAGGGATACCTAGGTTAGGGAAAGGATACCTGGGCCTCCCCAGCTGCCTCTGGCCCCTGTCCTCACCTGAGGTGCAACAAGTAGCAGAGGAGGCGGTGGGTGGGGCTAGCATTTCCCTCCTCACCCACAGGCACCAAAAAGAGACGATGGCGCAAGAAGGTCATGTGGGCAGCAGGCATGTCCGAGAAGTCAAAGGTCACTAGGAACATCTTCACCACAGTCTGGTTGGGGTTAAATAAGGTCTGGGGGCAGGAGAGGCAAGATTGGTAGGGTTGAAAAGCTATTAATCTTTCCCCACTTTCACCCCCTCTGAGGCAAAACTCACCACTTGGATGGTGCCCATCTTGGGCACGCCGTAACCCTTCCTCCCCAGGGGGTTCAGGTCCACGACGCCCTGAGAAGGTCATGGAGCTATCAGTCAAGGAAAGGCTCTAAATATTCATCTATCTCCATAATCACTCACTCTGGAACCTGGCCCCTTCCCACATTAGCATTCTCCTCACCTGGCCTTGACTGTCTCCTAGGGGAGAAACACCTAAAGGACACTCCCTTCCCCTGTCCCTTCCTCCCAATCCCTCATCCTTCTGATGAGCTCACTTTGAATTGGGGTTAGGTCATACCAGGAAGGGGGCCGGGGCATTTTGCTCAGAAACATCAAAGAAGGTGACAGTGACAGGCAGCGTGACATGCTGGGGACAATAGGATCCACTAGCTCCGATCTCTGCTGTGAAGCCCTCAATGTGGCCAGATGGTGCAAAGCGTCCTCGAAGCAATGATTCCTGGGGAAGGAGTGAGGAAAACATATTATGAAAGATAAGCCAGCTCTTTTCCTTATCCATACAAGCCACACTCCACCATCCCACTTTCCCCAGGACCCACCAAACACAAAGTCCAAGGGGAACTACCTCAAAGTTGCCCAACAGGGTACGGCTGACGGCGGGGGTAGGAACAGGGGAGGCACTGGGTGGGCTCAGCAGGCCTGGCCCCTTCCGGAGGCTTCGAAGGGAGCTCCTGGTAGGGGAGGGGACACAGTGGGTTGACTTTAGGTAGCCTGGAGTATCTGCTCATGTCCTTGGGTCCCACTCTTTGTCATTACCTAGGTCTCCTACCTAGGTCTCCTACCTAGGTAGGAGACCTAGGCATGCGGTCTCCTTCCCTGGGCTTGGAAAGAGGACTATAGATTTCTACCTCCATTTTTAGGGACAGGGCAGAGGGGAGAAGCTGATCACTTACAGTTTCAGGCGACGGGCACCTTTCAGCCTCCGCCCCATGGGACTGCAGTCTGTTGGGTCCTAAGGAAAAGAAGATTGGGAAAAGAGATGGGGCAGAGGCCAGGTGTATTAGGGAATAGGGGTCCATCATAAGCTCTCCTAGGAACTTCCCCCCAGGCCTTCATCTCTTCCTACTTAAGTGTAGATGATCTCCTTTCCTGGCTTACCAGCACAGGCTCCTTGGGCCCAGGCAGCAGGTGGCTCCAGAAGGGTGTGGCTTTGGCATCAGAACTGTTGGCAGCAGGAGGGTGGCCCAGGGTTCCCCGGCGCCTCCGAGGGGCTGGCCCCTCATCCTCAGAGCTGACATCCAGGGCTTCTCCAGCAGGAAGCAGCCTTCGCTTGGTGGGGCAGGGGCCTGGAGGTCCAGGGCCAGGGGGTGTGTGCTCGGGACTGTGCCCATTGGCAGTGCCAGGGGACTCCCTAGGCCAGGGGCTGCCCCCATTGCCCACCCCAGCCACTGGGCTCTTACGCCCTATTTGTGCAAGACTGTGCAAATCAGTGTCAAGTGTGTGCAGTTGGCCCGGAGGGGCTGGCCCTGGGGACTCCCCCAGGGACCCCTGTCCCCCTGGATCTGGGGAAGCCCAGTCTCTGGTGTGCAAAGTATTGCAGGAAGCATTTGATGGGTGCCCGGGAGGACTCGGGGCCCCTGAAGTCCAAGGTAAGGTGGAGCTACCTCCTTGTTCCACCACGCAGAGGCCATGATGGCAGAAATGTTGGCTGGCCACACCCAGCCCCAGCCCCAGTTCCTCTGGACCCAATAGCCCCACAGTAGATGGTTCTTCAGGGGGTAGCCCCTCTCTGGCTCCCAGCCCAGGGCCTCTCTTCAGTTCCCGGGGACCCTCAGTAGGTGGGGCAGGTCGCTTCAGGGCCCTATGAGGCTCGGAGGCACCAGCTGGAGGGGAAAAGATGGATACCTGGTAGACCCCGGGGGATGTTGCCCCCCCTGCTGGGCTGTAGCCCATGAGCAGGCCACCTTGGAGGGCCCCCTGCCTGACTGCAGGCTGCGAAGGGCCAGCCTCTGGCTCTGAGGATGGAGATGGCTCCGCCTGCACGTGGCGCATGAAGCCCCCCCTTGGGTCAGGGGGGCCCCCCCCCACAGCCTTTATGCTGGGCCTGGGCTGGGGGGCCTGGGGACATCTGTGCAAGAGAAGAAAAGAAAAGGTGGTCAAAGGAATGAACGAGTATTCTCCCTCCCTGCTGAATTTCAGACCCTCCCCTCGCCTGAAGTGGTGATCTTGTGGGGTCCCTGGTATGAAGGAGTCGAAATATCCAGATGGATTAACAGAATGTAGAGGCCACCCCAGAATTTTAGAAAGGGTGACATGTTTAGCTCAGGGCTCTTACTGGGCCTGCATCTCCTTCCTCTCCCCGATACTTACCCCGATGAAGAGGCCTTAAGCCTAGCTGTATGTTCTCTCTTCCTGATTGATGTCTTGCTCTCCTAGCTTGCAGTCTGGTCCATGCCTGCTGCACTGGCAAGGTGACTGCCACCATTCCGTGCAGCTCCTGGTCTCAGCCAGACCCTGAAGAGAGAAGAACAGACATAAGCTCAGGATCCCTGAAGCCAATGACAAGGTTTCTCTCTAGCTGTAGGCTGTGAGTACTCCCCTAGGACATCCTCCTCTCTTAAGGGAAGCTTTTTCAGATACAAGGGGCAGTCTTGGGATCCAGGCTCAAAGTATGTGAGAAGTGAGTTGAGGCAAGATGACCACTTGTCTGGTCCACCACCTGGGGGCTTCCTGCGCTGAATGGGAGGGGGGATAAGATAGTCCAGGATCCAAGAGAGCATGTCAGATGAGAGGTGGCCAGAGCAAGAATTCAGCCATCCTAGTCAAGGCCACCAAGTCGTACAACTCCTTCTCATATGGATAAGTGCCAGCCCAGAACCCTAAAGGGAAAGGTTTGCAGAAATTCAGACCCCATCAGTTTGTTCCTCTGAGGTTCAGAGCCAGCCCTTCAACCTTCAACTCCCAACTGCCCCAGCAGAAGGCAACAAATCTAATCAAAAACAAGTCTGGTGGGGAGGAGACATGGCCAGAAGGCACTTGCAGGGCCGGCCTACCCCTCCCCCTAGGCCCTGCAAACTAGAGATAAGACAGTGACAGTCAGAAAGCTGGAATAACTCTGAGTACTTCTTTACTCCTCCCCAAAACCTCCAACATACACCCAAAATCCAAAAACCCAAACCACTGCTTTTCTGCCAAGGCACAAGATGGCCTTCACTGATTAGTCCACCCTCAGGAGTCTATTCTGGGTGACAGGCCATCTTCCTTCATGGGAGGAAATACTACCTCCAGGATGAAGCTTCTGCTTGGGACAGTACCTATGTTACCTGCCACCCACAATACCATTTCCCCTACATGCCTGCCCTTCCTCCCTGGCTAGGTAAAACAACTTCCCCTCTAGAAAGCCCACTTTGGCTACCCCAGACTACAGCTACCTCTCTCTCCTCTGAGGTCTCACCTATGGCAACATCACTTTCTCCTATCACCCAGTGACAATTCTGCTTGCTCCTGTGAGTAAGACATCTCTTAGTAAGGACATAGCAAGGTTCAAAAAAAGTGAAATGTAAGCCCCAGAGATCTGGACAGCAGTCCTAACAGTGCAGAGGAAAACTCCCAGAATGAGAGCAACAGAGAGATTAATTGTATAGGGAGAACCAGCAACAATAGAGGTAGGAGTTGGGGGAGGGGGGCAGGGAAAAAGGGAAGGTATGCACCCAGGGACTGAAAAGCTCTCCTACACCAAGTTCCCATCACACTATCCTATTTCACCAAATTCTTGTTAGAACTGGGATCCCTAAGAAAATTCTGGTTTCCTGTGGTGGGTGGGGTGGCTGGAAAGGCCAGCATGCCAGTGGCAGTGCTGTCAGGGTACAACGTGTACTCCTTTCCACCCCTTCTTTCTTCTGCCCAAACCATACAGATTCAGGAAGGGCCTTTTCCATGCAGGTCATCCCAATGGCTTCTTGAACCCTTGCCCTGGGGAGAAGCCAGGTGATGACATGATGCCCTACTTGACCCCAGTGTGCCTGGCATCTGCTCATTATCCCAGAGCCCTCTCAGTCCCGCCCTGTCAATGAAAAGCTCTAAGCTTCACTCCCTGCCACCCAGCCAGTCTGGCTCTAGACCATGGCTTCAAGCTGACTCATGGGGCAGGACTGCAGTGGGGGGGGGGGCAGGGAGGACAGGCCAAACCTCTCTCTGTATAGGGGTGGGCAGCAGCTGGTGTCAAACAGCTGTGCCAGACTGTGACTGGCAAGGACTACAGCTCCCAACATGCCAAGGGAGCAAGACCAGCAAAAACAACAAGTCCCAGTATACCACGGGGTCTGTACCCTCAGACACCTGCTAGGCCTGGGAGGTGGGTGTTGATACAGGTACAAGCTCCCGGGCTCTGCTTCCCTTCAGTATTAAAGATATCCATTTCTATCCTGATCAAGGAGGGTGGTGGCAAGAAGGAGACTTCCTCTCCATGTGCTTTCCACCCTCATCCTGTTTAGAGAGAACTGCTGCCAGTTGCTGCTGTACATTATATTCCTACACACATCCACACGGGCTGTGCCCATGGACCACCACAGTAAGTAGGAAGGTCAATCTCTGCTCTCTCACCAACTCCTTGGCTGATGGCCCAGATCCTCCACCTTCAGGGGAGAGGGAGCAGATCTCCGCACCACCCCCAAGCTGATCCTGGCAGACTCATCCCAGCTCCCAAACTCGTGTCCTGGGGGATCCCCTCACCCCTTGCTTAGCCACCCAGGTCCTCTCTCATTCCTTCCTCCCCACAGCCCGGGACAGGCCCCATTCCCTCCTGGAGCTTCCGAGATAGGCTCTTTTCCCCTAGCACACACTCACCCCGCTCCCAAATTGGCTCTGCCGCGGCGGCCGCTGCTCCGGGCCCTTCCGTCCCGTCCCCTTCCCTCGAATTACCAGTCCCCCCTGCCACGGGCCCCCAACCCAGACAAAGGGTGGCTCAGGCTGAGCCCTGCTCTGCTACGCTCTTCTCTGTTCAGCTTCGTGTGCAACACTAGCGGGCCCTGGAGCCCGCAGCCCCCCGTCGCTGCCGCGCCCCTCCCCGCGACTGTCCCTCCCCGTGGCCGCCCAGGCTCCGCGCTGCCGACTCGGCTGCCCCTCTGACTCACAGGCCATTTCCTACCAGCTGATGGGGCTGCCCGCCCCGCCCAGCGCCCCACTACCCCCACCGCCTCGGCGGCGGCCGCCACGCCCCCCAGAGGCCACGCCCCCCGAGGACAACGACCATGCTCATTGGCCCACAAGAGGCCAGCCTCCCCAAGACTTCAAGAGTCGGGCACGCCCCTTCCAGGAGACGCACGCCCATTGGTCCGAGGAGGGGCAGGCCTACCCAGGCTCGCCCCGCCCATCTCCTTTAACTCCTCATCTGCCAGAGTCCAAAACAGCCCTCTGCCCTGCCTTTTAACCCTTTTTCAAAAGAGCAAGCCTCCTCCTTCTCACCCCCGCCCTTCCACTTCCGAGGCTGGTTAATAGGACGCCCGAGGGCTTTCATAGACAGGGTTTGACAGCCTTCAAAGTCATCCTGCTTATTCCCACACCAGACCCCAAATATCCCCACTCCTATTCACCTGCCTTGCAAACCACAGCTCCAGAGACCAGAGAACTGTTGGGGTTCAGGAAGCTTCCTTCGTGCTAGAGCAGATGGAAAAGTCCCGAAGTGAAATCTTATCTCCTACCACTGAGAGGTGGTATTCTTCTTTTTCTTATTCTGTATTGATATTCTTTTTACTTCACTTAAGGGACCCCAAGGGCTCCTGAGATAGGGATACATTTTAATTCAGGGAACTAAGCATCATTCTTTGTCTCTGAAGTTCCATTCTGAGGTTAGGCTGCTTCATCTCTTCTACCTGTGCTCTTTCTATTCATAGGCCCCTGTTCCAGGACACAGAACACCTAGGGCAAGTGGGATAGGAAGGCTTCTGCCTAGAGTGGGGAAAATGTGCCCAACTCTTGTGATAGAGCTCACCCCCATGACTCACCGCTCCCTCGAAACTCCCCACCCACCCCCTGAGTCACCAGGCCCCAGGCCCAGCCCAGACCCAGTCAAATTAAATGGCAGCAGAACCAGCATTCCTAATTCTATTTACCAGGGTGGAAATCTTTGCAAGGATTAGGTATTAAAAGACACTTTTTAGAGGGGCTGTTCTAGGGGCAAACTAAGAAAATAGATAGCTCTGTCTACTTGTCCCTCTGCATTTGTGACATATCAGACAATTTAGAGTGCAGAAGGCATTTCTCCCAGTCTTCCACAGAAACAAGAAGCAAACACCAGAGCTGAAAGAGGGAAGACTCAAACTGAGGTCCTGGATCATATTCCTGGCTGTGCCTCCAGAAGAAGGATGTGTGTGTATGCCCATTCTTCTATAGTTCAGCGACCACAGAAGGCCCACAGTCCCTGTTTTTACCTTGCCTGTGCTGTGGGCCCTGAGGTTGTCATTGGATAGTAAAAAGGAGGCTCCCTTCCCCCTACTTCCTCCTGTGCCCTAGCCTTAAGAAGGACAAGCAAGAACATTTAGTTCCTCTAGGCTACCTTCTCCTTACCTCAGAACAGGGGGGAAACCCTTAGAAAGAACCCATTGTGTGGACTGACTTCCTTGCTGGTTCCCTAAAGCTAAGGGATAGAATTAAAGACATTTTAAACACCCTTAACAAGTAGCAGACATAAGAGCCCACTTGCCCTTAGTAAATACCTACTGGGAAGAAAGGTAGACACATAACACTGTATGAAAAAAACAATCCCTTGTTCTATCTTATTGTCTCTATCTATGCAATCAGAGGGCAATAGTTTAGGGATAAGGATCAAAGATGTTCCAGGCCTTAGTGGGCCCTGAGAAAGCAGCACAATATAATCAAGAGACCTTACCTAGCTCTTACTCTGCTTAATTTTTCATAGCAGTTATCACCAGATTTCTCTCTCACACACTCACACACACACACACTTCTCTCTCCCACTATTAGAATGGAAGCTCCATGAGAACAGCAACATTATTTTGTTGATGTTGGTATTCCTAGAATCATCATCATTGCCTGTCACATAATAGGTGCTCAATAAACATTCACTGAAAGAAACAGTGAGCTCTGGACTGAGTGAACAGCAACCAGGAGACCAGGAGAAAAATCAGTCTTTTTGACCATGAATTTGAGTTTGTATAAACAACAACTGAAGGCCTCTCAACTCTGGTTTTATACTGTTGTAATCCCAACGGTTGCTGTTCAAACATATCCATTTTCAGAAGATGAGCCCAAGCATCTGACTGCCCTACTGCTAGTACTGAAGAAGAAAGGATATATACTCCAGCCAAAGCAAGGCAAACTGATGCCCATTCTCTCCAAACCCCACCCACTCACACAAATGCCTCAGTCCAGAGGAAGCTGGAGTGAGTCTGCCCTAGGCCTGCCTCTCAGAGAGTCTGAGAGAGACAGTAAGGGAAGCTATGTTACCATAGCAATCAGCTCCTCCTCAAAAGGCTTCAGGCTGCCCTCCTTTACCCCACCCCACCCCATGGCTTTGTCTGGCCTCACCTCCCCCCAACCCCCCCCTCCCCAGCCAGTCTCAGTCTCATCTAGAGGAGGCTGGCTTGGGGGCCCCTTTCAACAACTCTGTCACACTCATTCAACCACAGTGTGCAAGGGAGGCCTTTCCCACCCTCTCCCAGCAGGCCCAGGAGTAAAAAGAACTCTGGCTTTACATTAAATCCCCTCAGGGAACCCAATCCCCCTAAAATAGATAACTAGCCCCGAGTCATAGTTCTGACAATCAGTTTCCAAGTCTGGATGTAGAGTCATTCCCCCTTCCTCCCCTAGTTGAGACTAGAAACACACCCTTTTTGGAGTTTGGCCTATAATAGTGGCCCACCTCTCAAAACAGATCAAAGATCCTCAATACTTCTCACTATTTCCCCCCTGTCATACAGAAGCTCAGAATATTTGAGGACCCTAGGGTTTCCCTTTCAGTAAAAAGGTGAGGGTAATCATTTTGTGGCAAGAGGTGAAAATGTGGTTACTAGTTACTTGAAGGGCTGTTGGAAGACCTTGTTAGTAGTATGGGTGGGGTCTGGGCCTTGCTGTGGGTTACTAGGGTCTCTGGCCATTGAGTACAAAGTCCCAGGCAGGGCACAGCTCCTAGCCGGGCAAGGACCAAGCCAGGCCCCAGGGCGAGGAAGGAAGTGGGAAATGAGCACACCCAGAGCATAAGGGCAGGGCAAAGGGGGGTGGGGGTGGGGGTGGGGGAAGACAGGGACCAAGGCAAGCTCTGGGAGGAACAGGAACTGGGGTGGGGGGGTTCGGCTAACAGGAACCGAATGGGGGAAGGGTCCTCAGGGACATCAGCTGTGGAAAGAAACCACAGTCTCAGACAGACAGATCCAAAGCAGACACAGTAGAGTCACACGTACCCTGGTGGCCAGCAGGACCTGACTCCTCTCTAAGAGTACTCAGGCCCGAAGGTGGAGTTAGGAATTGCAGAGCCAGGTGCACTACAGACTGACTTCTTCACCCTATTAATTCCTTCACTCTCACTCCTAGAGCACAGGAAACAAACAACTTCCCGCAATCTCCACCAGGCCCCCAGATTATTAGTTTCCCAAAGCACTAAGGGTTATGCCCCTTCAGCTGGGGCTTACAGCCCATTCCCCTATGCAGCACCCAAGCCCCATCCCTTCTTCCTCCACAGCCCCTTCGCTCCCCCACACCGTAGCCTCCCAGGCCCTCTCCATCACACAACACCCCCTCCCCCAAAGCGCCTTCAGATCCCCTCCCCCTTAAGTATCGCCTCCAACCCTACACGTAGAAACCGACCTCGCCCCCTCACTATTTACCTCCTACTCCCACAAAGCACTCCCGCCCCTCCCCCACAAGGGCCCCGGGAGAGTGCACCCTCCCGCCCACACAGCGAGCCCCCAACTCCTCCCCCAACTAGGTCTCCCTCTCCCCTCCCCCCCCGTCTCCAGATCCTCTCCTCCCCTAACGTGCCCCCACCTCCTCCTGTCTGCTCCAGCGCACCCCTGTCCTTGTCCCTTCTTTCACGCGCACCCTGCCCCACCTGTAGTTCCGCCAGTCCCGCTGCACCTGGGGAGGTAGTGGATTGGGGCAGCGACTCGAGCGGCCCTAACAGCAGCCTCGGCCTGCAAACCTCGCCCCTTTGGCCCGAGCCCCGCCCCCCGCAACGCCCGGGTCCGCCCACTCCCTTGTCCCACCTCCTACTTTGCCCCCGGTTCGTCCCCTTCCCTAGTTTCTGTAATTCTTCGGGCTCCACCCCTATTATCGAGCCCCGCCCCTCGGCCCCCCTCGCCCCCCCCTCCCAGGAGTCCCCACTAGTCCTTGGCCCCATCCCCGACCCCCTCCCCCTGCTGATGTCCCCGCCTCGCCCTGTCCCACCCCCTCGGCTTCCAGCCTGGCAGAGCCGGTGCCAGGGCCGCTTCCACCACGAGCCCCCTCCCCGCTCGGAGCCTCCCCTGCCCCTTCCCCGGCTCCCCGGCGGCCTCACCCGGCCCGGCGCGCCCGCCCGGCCCCGCTGGCTTTGATTGGCGGCGGCGGCCCCAATGGATGGCGGCGGGGACAAAGTGAGGCTGCAGGTCGCCCGAGGGCCCACCCCGGCCACGTGCGGCTTCTGTGATGACAGGTCCGCAGGGCGGGGCCGAGGCCGGCCTCGGCCCACCGGGACGGACCGGGCCGCGCGCCGCGGGGGAGCCCATGTCCGGCCCAGAGCGCTGGCCCCAGGGCTGCGAACCGGACCTGGCCCTCCCCCGGGCGCCGCGCGCTGCGAGCCTCCCCGGAGGGGCTTCCAGGGCAGCCGCGCGCCGCCCCGGGAGGCAGGTCCAGTGCAAGGAGTGTCCGCGGTCCGCGAAGGGGACCGGGCGGGGGCATCGGGCCGGCAGGAGCGCACGGTTTGGAGGTGGAGCGGGTCCTGCAGCGTCCTGAGCGCGAGACTCGGGTTTTGCAAGACGAGCTGGAGAAGTCAGGTTCGTACCTGTGCAGGTGGGTCCACGAGAAGTCTGCACGTCACGAGACCCGGGGCCGGCGTGGAAGCAGGAGGCCCGGGGCACCGCAGAGGGTCTTCGCCCTGGGCGCGCGTGGAGGGACCTGCGTGGCTGTTTCGCGTGTTCTGAAGTTTCATGATCGCTGGAGTCTCCGCACCAGCCCCGCGAGCTCCCGCACACCCCGCCCCGCGGCCCCGGAGGCTCCCGAGAAACCACCCGGGCAGGCCGCGACTCCCCGCCGCCGGGAGATGGCAGCACAGGACCCTGCAGAACCGGGTGACCGGTTCTGGGCCCGGCCGCTCCCCGAGGAGCCGCGAGGGAGCAGGGTGTATGGTGGGTGAGGACCTGATCAGGGTCCCTGAAGGGCTCAGATTCTCCAGGTCTCTGTGATTTTTTTTTTTTGTGTGTGTGTGAATATTTAACTAAACCTGGTTTACCGAACACCAGGAATGTGTGCTAGACGAAAAGAAAAAGGAAATTTCCTGCTCTTAAGGAACTTGTCTAGTCACACATTAATACTGGGGAGAGTAAAGTTGGAAGGATGTCTTATAATGGAAAAAGCACAGGACTTGAAGTCGTTTGGGTTGGTCTCGGTATTTACTAGCTGTACAAATTTGGGTAAATTACTTGACTTTTAAAAATAATCTTTTAATTTTAGAACAACTTTAAACCTATGGAAATTTTTGTGAAGATAGCACAGTTTCCATATAGCCCACACCTAATTTCTCCTATTATTAACATCTATAACAAATGGCTGATTTGTTGTAAGACTGAACCAATATGTTGTCATTAGAGTACACAATTTATTCAGATTTCCTTAGTTTTTATCTTATGTCCTTCTGTTCTGGGATTCCTTCCAGGGTAGTACATTTGTTGTAGAGCAACCCCGATACAAAACGGGGTGCCTGACTGTGGGTCCTCACCCGAGCGCTTAAAGGGACTTATCAATGCTCTACTGCAGGCACACGCGAAAGGTTAATAAAAGGTTTATTTACAAGGGAAGGGGAAATGAGGAAATGTACAGCTCAGGGAGAAAAGTGGGAGACAAAGTTTTAAATGAGTCCTACCCGATCCGCAGATCTGGAATCCCAAAATGGCGCTCTCAGAGTTGGCCGCCAGCCAGGAGCCGTGAAGCCAGGAGGCTAGCGATCGCGAGCCAGAGAGACCCCAAGGCCCACGTGTTTGGTTTTTATATCCAACCTGGCTGCCCAACTCCACCCTCAGGTCCCAGCCACCCTCCCTTTGGTGGTGATGGGATTTGTCTTTCCCAATGTCTTGATGGCTTTAGTCTGGAGTGGGGGTGGGGTCCACAAAGCCTGTATGGGATTAACTCAGGACATCCTTTCCCCCTAACACACTTAGTTGTCTAGTTACACTTAGTTGTCTTGTCTAGTTACACTTAGTTGTCTTGTCTCCTTAAGCCCCTCTTGGCTCTGACAATTTCTTGGTTTTCTTTATTTTAAATGACCTTGACAGTTTTTTTTTTAAAGACTTATTTTTTATGCATACAAGAACTGGGGTACAGGCCAGAGGTGTAGGGGATGAGAGGATTCACCAGAGACAGAGTGGGAAACAGAACTGGCAAACTGACCGAAGTACACTGCTGAGGGGAGCAGCAGGTGAGACAGGAGAGGTCTGTTGCGCCTTGGGGTACCTCCCTGGCCGGGGATCGGACTCCTGCTGTGAGTCTGCAGACAGCTTCATAGGTTGCATCTTAACCACTTGCGCCAACAGGGAGGCCCATTAAGCCCTAGTTTTGACAAAGTCTTTGGAACCTTTGGCTTACATGTAAAGAAAAAAAAAAGGCATTTTATATAGTTTCTTTGCAGCTTGTTCCATTTAGGTAAGAGATTGTGTAAACTTTTGTCTGCACAGGGCCCACCAAATAGCCTTCCTGCTTTCTACGTAGAACCCCAGAGATAAAACAAGTTATCTGCGTTTCATTAGAAACAGATGTCAGTTGTTGGGCCTCCCAGGTGGCGCAGCGGTTGAGCGCTGGGTTGCGAAGCCTCTGCGGCCTCTGCGGCGCCGGTTCGATCCCCGGCTGCTCCCCGGCCACCGCAGGAGGGTCCCACATGGCGCGCAGACCTCTCCTGCCGCCCGCTGCTCCCCTCAGCAGTGTGCTTCGGTCCTTCTGCCTGCTCTGCTCCCCGCTCTGGCTCTGGTGAATTCTCTTGCCCTCCCGCGCTTCTGACTGTACCCAGTGCATGTATAAACAAAAAACAAATAAATAAATAAAAATTCATGCCTCTAAAAAAAAAAAAGAAACAGATGTCAGTTGCGGGGGTCAGCTTTCCATTTGAGATTAAATAAAATTTTATCTAGCCCTTTACCCCACATTCAATGGGAAGTTCAGTGCCACCCCAGAGCCTTCTAGGCTTGGGGAGGTGCTTGATTTATCCTGAGTCCCTAGCCTTTGCTGAATTTGCAGTTCACTGGTATTTCACCTCCTTCAACTGTTTTTTTTTTTTTTCCTAACTTAGACGTGAAATTGTTTATCCTTCCTCAAAACATCTCATAGGAGGCATTTGTTTGCTTTTGTTTTTATCTTATTTTATTCTTTCTTTATTCAGGGGTGGCATTTGAATGGCAGGCTTTTATTGAAGCTCTGGGGTTAATGAAAGGGGTAGAAATGAAACTACACAAACAGCTTAAAGTTGAAAATTTGAGCATCCCAATTCTTTACATATCCTAAAGTCTTCAGCTATCCCATAATCTTTTCTGACCCTCTCTCGTGATTCCCACCCCTATCTCTCTGTTCTCAAAACTTAATGCTGTCAAGCAATTTCTACACACCCATCTCCCTACGGCAGTTATTTTGCATATCAAAGGCTCGTTGTCATAGAAATAGAGGACAAAACCCTTAAAGAAAAGCTTTTTATGGGTCCCTAAATCCTCTGACCCCAGTCCTGAAGGGATGTGTCCTTTTGTGATAAGGAAAATAAATTAGCAGATTATTGGAGTATTATTTATTTTTGAAAACACCTTTAAAATCTGTGTGCATCCTTTCCAAGAAAACTGAATGCATATTGAAATAAGGAAAAAGAACATGTGACAGTTAATTGCTAAAAGTCCTTTGTTTTGAAATAATGCTAACATACTCTATCTTTCTGTTAAAGAATAGCATCTCAAATGCAGTGGGAGAATTATAAAAATGCTTTACAAAGGAACTTCAATTTTTCCTCAGGAGAGGCTGTAAAAGGTCTGTCATCTGTCCTCTTGCTGTCTTTCCCACTTGGAAATTACATGTTACTTGCCTCCAGGGACCAGGCTATAGGCATACTCTTTTATTTATTTTTTTAAAAAAAATTTGGTTTTACTTATTTATGCATATAAGAACTGGAATGTAGGCCAGAGGTGCAGGGGGTAAGAGGACTCACCAGAGACAGAGTGGGGAAGCAGAACAGGCAGATCTACTGAAATACACTGCTCAGGGGAGCAGCAGGCGAGTCAGGAGAGGTCTGCTGTGCCATGTGGGTAGCTCCCTGGCTGGGGATTGAACTCATGCCACAGTGGCTGGCAATAGCTTGATATTGCTGAGACTTTAACCCCTGTGCCACCAGGGAGGCCCCTAGGCATACTTTTTCAGAGGCCATTTGTCAAAGTGAGAATTAATATACAGAAACATTATTAATATACAGAAATGTTATTTAAATGAGGTTAGGAGGGTAAAAAGTTTATTATAGGGCAGCCCCTATAATATTATAGGGCACCCAGGCAGCCCCTGGGTGAAGTGGGGGTACCTGGGTGTGAGTCCTCACTCATAGGCTTAAGAGTTCAAGTCAAGACCCAAAAGCAGGGGCCTCCCCAGTGGCGTAGCGGTTGAGCGCTGGGTTGCGAAGCTGCCCGCAGACGTTGCAGCACTGGTTCGATCCCCGGCTGCTCCCCAGCCACCAGAGGAGGGTCCCACATGGTGCGCAGCCTCCCCTGCCACATGGCGCGCAGCCTCTCCTGCCGCCCGCTGCTCCCCTCAGCAGTGTACTTCGGTCCTTCTCCCTGCTCTGGCTCTGGTGAATTCTCTCACCCTCCCGCGCTTCTGACTGTACCCAGTGCATGTTTAAATAAATCTTTATTAAAAAAAAAAAAGACCCAAAAGCAGACACTCAGACAGAATTTTTTTTTTTTTTTTTTTTTTTAAAAGATAGAAATTAACTTTTTTTTTTTTTTTTTTAATTTTTTTTTTTTAAGATTTCTTTATTTTATACAAGTACTGGATACAGTCAGAAGTGCGGGAGGGTGAGAGAATTCACCAGAGCCAGAGCGGGGAGCAGAGCAGGCAGAAGGACCGAAGTACACTGCTGAGGGGAGCAGCGGGCGGCAGGAGAGGTCTGCGCGCCATGTGGGACCCTCCTCTGGTGGCCGGGGAGCAGCCGGGGATCGAACCGGCACTGCAGAGGCTGCAGGCAGCTTCGCAACCCAGTGCTCAACCGCTGCGCCACCGGGGAGGCCCCAGACAGAATTTTTTTAAAAAAGGTTTATTTACCAGGGGAATTCGAAAAAGGTGGGGCGGGGGCAGGGAGTGGAGCAGAGAGAGAGTGATTGGCTCATCCTACCAGTAATACCCTCTAAACTTAGATACCTGAATTCTGCTCAGTGAAATAAGCCAGAAGGAAAAAGAAAAATATCGGATGGTTTCACTTATAGCAGGAATATAGGGGAACCAAATAAGACATCAGTGTAAAAAAATAGTAACAGTACAAAACACAACAAAGCAAAAATGGACAATTATAAATCAGAGACATGCTGCAGGGGAGGAGGAGGGAGAGGGATCAGAGGGAGGGAGGGAGGAGCACAGGGGACTGAGGTGATGGTGCACGGGTGTATTGGGGAAGGAAATTCTATGGGGACTATACCTGAGGGGGGATGCAAATATTGTTTAAGAATAAACAGTGATGTAAAAAAATATAAAAAAATGAATATAAAATAAATAAACTAATTAATTAAACTAAACTAAACTGAGACACCAGGCTGCAAGTGAAAAGCCAAAAGCCAGAGAGCCCAGAGTCCACATGTATTCAATTATAAACCCAAGCATCGCTGCTTAACTCCACCCCTAGTTCTCAGTAATCCCCCATTTAGGAAGTCAGATTCATGGCACGCTGGGATTTATAATCTTCTATGCCTGAGATATCTCCAGCATGAAGGTGGTGGTGGAGTCCATGTCAGGGGTGGAGTTTATTGAGAATGTCATATATGGGTTCAGAATTGGCTCCTTATTCCAACAAGTTATCACTGGTGTGTACAATCAGCAAGTTACAGGACCCAATGTGTCTTTCTTCAAGAAAGTGTTACTTCACCTCAGTGGAAGGTAGAAGTTGGTTCCTCTTTGCCCAGCAATAGCTCAGTCAGTGGGAGAATACCGTAAAACAATGAATGAAAAACCACTAGCCATTAAACTCCCAGTTTCTTTCAACAGCTCTTTGGTTACAATAATCCCTCTAAAATCTATACAAGTTGGTCTAGGCTTTTGTTCTAGGAAGGTGTGTGTATCTCTCCTATGAGATTGTACTTTCCAAATTGTTTTTTGTTGTGTTGTTGTTTCTGACTTAACCCATCCTGTTGGTGAAATAATTGGTTGCTTTTTGTTTGAGGTCAGCAAAGGTCTAGCGGTCTCCAAATGCAAGGAAACATTTGTGTAGGGCCCAGAATGGTTGGGGTAATTAAAGAACCCTTAGTGTTTCTTAGTACTCCTGGGTGTACCATGTAAAGGAATTTTGATTGTAGCATTTGAAGAAACGTGTCCAAAGGGGAAAAAAAAATTGTATAAGACTATTTGCTTTGGCCCTCCCTGGTGGCGCAGGGATTAAAGACTGCACTATCAAGCTTTTGCCAGTCATTGCTGCACGAGTTTGATCCCGGGCAGGCCGGGGAGCAACCCACATGGCACAGCAGACCTCTCCTGGCTCACCCGCTGCTCCCCTCAGCAGTGTATTTCAATCAGTCTGCCTGTTCTGCTCCCTACTCTCCCTGGTAAATCCTCTCACCCCCTGCATCTCTGGCTTGCACCCCAGTTCTTGCATGTAAAAATAAATCTTTTTTTTAAATGTATGGGAGATTGTCAAGAGATACAGCCCTCTGTCTCTTGAGGAGATAATGCTTTTCCTTCTGCATTTCTGTATAAATTATGTGAGATTTTGTCCTAACTCTGCAGTCATTTTCAGTTTAACTTATATGCATATAATTTATTGGTGCTTGCTCAATAATAAATTATGTTGTCTTATCCTGTACTGCAAGAGAGGGGTCTTTTTAGCTGGTGAGATTGTTTTATTTCCCCAGCAAGAAAAATGTGACAGTTAAAAAAATAAAGCAAATTCTTTCTCTTTTAAAATTATATTTATTTATTTTTACATTGTATTTATTTTTGTATGTTTGACTTCTCCCCTCAGGTGTAATGCCCATAAAATTCCCACCACTAAATCATCCTTGAGCCATCACCATAGTCTCTTGTGTTCTTTCCTCCCCTTTTGACCCATCCCTGGAGTATTTCTCAGTTCTATAGTTTGCCTGCTAGTTTTGTCTTTTTTTTTCTGACCCTTTGTTCCGATTTCCCATATTCCTCCTATAAGTGAAACCATCCAATATTTGTCTTTTTTCTTCTGATTTATTTCATTGCACTTAATCCCTTCCAGCTCCATCCATGTTACTGTGAATGGCATGAATTTATCTCTTTTGCTTGCTGAGTAATATTCCATTGTGTGTATATACCACATCTTCTTGATCCAGTCATCTGTTTGGGGGCATTTAGGTTGTTTCCGTATCTTAGCTATTGTAAATAGTGGTGCAATGAACATAGGAGTGCAGGTTTCCTTTCAAATTAATGTTTTTGTGTCCTTTGGGTAGATTCCTAGGAGTGGAATTGCTGGTTCATATATCAATCCATTTTTAGTAATTTGAGAGTTCTCTACACAAAAGCAAATTATTTCAAGCATTGTCCTTGGCTCCTGTTGACTCCATGTTACCAGTACTGTTTATTGGTGTTTATTTGACAAGTCAATGCTGAATTCAAAGTGACTGAAGAACCAGTCTTTTTGAATAGTCTGTGTGAAATGATTCCACATAAAAATGTTTTCAAGGAAGTTGAGAAAACACAAATTCAGTACAATGTGAAGTGGAATCTGCTAAGGTGTGTTACAACCAATGATGGCAAAAATATATGTGGAGCAGATAAAAGTGTTAGTTTTTAAGTCTTTTACAAGATTTAGGAAAATGTAATGTGTTTAAAGTGTATGGTTATCATTCATTGCAGAAAATACTTTGCAGAAATATTTGAATTTATCATTAAATGGTGGCCCCAAAATTCTGATTACTTACAGATGTCCTAACCATCATATAGTCATAGTGTTTTACACCAGTGGCAGCTTCATACATTTTTTTAAAGATTTATTTATTTATGCATATAAGAACTGGGATACAGGCCAGAGGTGTGGGGGTGTGTGTGAAAGGATTTGCCAGAGACAGAGTGGGGAACAGAACAGGCAGAGTGACTGAAATATACTGCTGAGGAGAGCAGCCGGCAAGACAGGAGAGGTCTGCTGCGCCATGTGTGTAGTTCCCTGGCAGGCCCAGGATCGAACTCGTGCTGCAGAGGCTGCGGATAGCTTCACAGGTTGCCTCTTAACCCATTGCTTATTATATTTTAAAATTAAATCTGTCAGTCATTTACACGGCTATTTAACATTGGGATTACATTTAGAAGCTTGCTATTTTTCCTTGCCTACCACATCAGAAGTTTGATAGCTTTGTAGTGATAAAGTTTTATTAGGATTTTTTGAGCAAATATCAAGAGCAGAATCTAAAATAATTTATATAAATGCTTTCCAAGCTATAAATATGCTCTGTTGAATCACATGCTGATGGATTGATCTCAGTATTTGGCAGTGTCCATCTGAGTGAAAGGACAGATGAGACCCATACATCTCATCACAGGTCAGCATTAACATATGAACATTTACAATGTATTTGATGATATTCTGAACTCCACCTAAGCAAAATCTATAGTCCCCAAAAGAATGTCCTCCTCATTAGTAGATCTATATTGCCAAAAAATTATCAATTATTATCTTATTTTTAGTGTCACCTATTACAAATTGTAAAAAATTAATTTTCTTTTTTGTTACATAAGTACTTAGATATTAACCTCAATTTTGCTTTTTTCATCACACAGAATCTCACGTCTGTCTGCTGCATCTACCAAGAGGCCTTGCCCCAATTCCAAAGATAATCTATTTTGTTTGAAAAGGGTTTTACCTTTCATGCTTTCACATCTGCTGCCTTTTTTTCACTTACAGTGGCCCTGTGATGGAGGCCACATAACTGAGGTAACTGAAACTAAGGTGCTGACTTTTGCAGTTAATCCTTTTCTAGTTACTGTCACTCTCTATTTCCTTTTTAAAAACATTTTTTATTAATGGTTATAAAAATATCCAAAAACGTTCTATTAAGAAATTTCTTTCAATGCATTGTTTTTCTTCACAATGGCCTGGCCTTCAAATCACAGGAGGCAGAGATTCAGTACAATTTCCTCTTCTTTTATTATACGCTGCAGAATATCTGAATCAGATACAACCCTCAGTCCTCTCATTTATAAAACAAATTCATTTCCAATCCATTGTTTAGATGGAGTTTATTTTTTTCTATTCCATAAAGAGGACCTTTTTACCCCTGCCCCAATGCATCATAATATAGTAGAGTCAGTTTCTCCCTTTGTCAGTTTTTCTTAGTGTTGAAGCAGTAACCTGTCCCAGCTTTACTTGGCATTTTCACTAGAATGATTTTTTTTAAAGATTTATTTATGCATTCAAGAGCTGGGGTATAGGCCAGAGGTGTGGGGCGGGGGGGAAGGGTGGTGAGAGGATTCACCAGAGACAGAGTGGGGAACAGAGCAGGCAGATTGACTGAAATACACTGCTGAGGGGAGCAGTGGGCAAAACAGGAGAGGTCTGCTGCGCCATGTGGATTGCTTCCTGGCAGGGGATCGAACTTGTGCTGCAATGGCTGCGGTTAGCTTCATAGGTTGTGTCTTAACCCCTTGCACCACCAGGGAGGCCTGATTAGTCTTTTTTAAAATAGATTTATTTATTTATGCATACAAGACTGGGGTACAGGCCAGTGGTGCAGGGGGTGAGAGGATTCACCAGAGATAGAGTGGGGAACAGAAGAGGCAGACTAACTGAAATACACTGCTGAGGGGAAAAGCAGGCGAGACAGGAGAGGTCTGCTGAGCCATGTGGGTTAGTTCCCTGTCCAAGGCTCAAACTTATGCCACAGTGGCTGATAATAGCTTGATAGTGCTGAGACTTAATCACTGCACCACCAGGGAGGCCCTATGTACTAAGTTTTATCACTGTTAGTTCCTTAACACTGTGGAAGTGTTAAGGGGATTGTCCCTTTCCTTCCCACTCAGTTCCATATTTACAGCCCTAGTTTGGTCCTTCTCATTATCTGTCACTGATTTTTTTTAATGACTTTATAAACTATTTACAGATAGGAACTGTGCTTTGTTTACTTTTATATCCTCTCACTATGCCTTATCTAAAAGATGTTTAATAAATATCTGTTGAATTGAGTTCATAGTATTACATTTTTCTGTGGCAACATTGGGAGACAGTCCCCCAAAGATAAGGAACTTGCAAGAAGGGTAAGCTTCTCATGGCCCTAGAGGGTAGCTTAAAGATAGTCATAACATCACTTGAGGGTTTCCTTGCCATGGTGTTAATATTGCATTACCACCTCCTGCCGATGGGTTCCCAGAGTGACAGCAACAATGCCAACCCTAGGTATTTTGGTCTTATCCTCTTGAGATTTTTTTAATATGTATTTATTTTGCATAGAAGAACTGGGGTGTAGGCCAGAGGTGCCAAGGAGGGAGGGGATTCACCAGAGACAGTGGGGAGCAGAATATGTGGATTCACTGAAATACACTGCTAAGTGGAGCAGGGGGTGGGGCAGGAGAGGTCTGCTGCTCCATGTGGCTTAGCTCCCTGGCTGGGGATTGAACTCAGGCAGTACTGATAGCACTGAGACTTAGCCTCTAGGCCACCAGGGAAGGCCCGCTTGTGATTTTTAACTACTCTTTGTCGTCTGCTTTCTTTGATACCTCTCTCTCCTCCTCATTTGCTGAATCTCAGAAAAAGTCCTAGCTCTCAGCTCCTGCCAGCTAGTCTGATGAATATGTTACAGCAAAACTGAGGGAATGCAACTTATTTGATTAGGGTACCAAAGACTGACTTTTACGTAGATAACAGACTCTTTTCTTCTCAATTTGCATTTTTTGTTTTTATTGTAAAATAAAATATTGATGGTAACATAATTTACTCCCAATCAGAGATATTACAAACTTCAGGGTCTCTGAGATATGCAGGATCCTTGATGTAACTGGCATAAACCCCATTATTTGAGCTCTCTTAATTGCTTTTGTGATTTCTTTTTTTTTCCTTCCCACTAAGACCTTTTATGTGCCTTCCATAAATGCATCTGGTAAATGGAGAAATAAACTGGGATAAAAGCTGTAAATATTTATAATCTACACATCTTATACACTTTTTAAAAATACTTTTTTTTTTTTTTTTTTAGAGGTTCACTTTAAGGATTTTCTGCTGGAATGGGCAGATCATCCTTTCTGGTTACCCGTTGATACTGTAATAACCTCTGCACAGCACTCCTGAGTCCCAGGATCTGTGAGGTAGACTCATCTGTTATGAAGTACATCAACTTTTTCTTCCCTAGACCACAGCAAACAACATGCATAGAACGATGTATGCTTCCTCATTCCTACTTTTACTTCTCAAGTTGCATGCCTTGATGAAGCAAGTTGCCATGTTGGAAAGGTCCAACATCACAGGAAACTGAGACCTGCCAATAGCCAATGAGTAGCTCAGGGCAACAGCCTAGGAGGAATTGAGCCCTGCCAACAATCACATGAGTGAGCTTAGAAGTGGATCCTTTCACTGTCAAGCTGGCACTTTGAATGCAGTCTGTAAGTAACCTTGAATTAGAGGACTCAATTAAGCCATATCCAGATTCTTGACCCACAGAAACTGAGATAATAAATGCTAAGTTTTGTGATAATTTGTTACATGACAAGAGATTATACACCAGGTGAATCTGTTTGATTCCAAATCTCATGTTCTTCACAGTTTTTTTGGGGGGAATTTCCCACTACTTTATATTGTTTCCAAGTGCCAGGTAACCTTCTATCTCTCATTATGATCTCTGCATCCCCCAGGACAACCCCTGGTATGATAAGCGCTTTATTTTATTTATTTATTTATTTATTTATTTATTTATTTATTTATTTATTTAAGATTTAATTATTTTTATACAAGAGCTGGGGTATAGGCCAGATGCGCGGGAGGGTGAGAGAATCCACCAGAGACAGATCAGGGAACAGAATAGGCAGACTGATGAAATACACTGCTGAGGGGAGCAGTGGGTGCGACAGGAGAGGTCTGCTGCCGCGCCATGTGGGAATCTACCTGGCCCGCCGGGAATTGAACCTGCACTGCAGAGACTGTGGACAGCTTCACAGTGCTGCACTCAACCTGCTGCGCCACCGGGGAGGCCCTTATTATTTTTTTTTTAAAGATTTATTTATACAAGAGCCAGGGTACAGGCCAGATGCGCTGGAGGGTGAGAGGATCCACCAGAGACAGAATGGGGACCAGTACAGGCAGACTGATGAAATACACTGCTGAGGGGAGCAGCGGGCGAGACAGGAGAGGTCTGCCGCATCATGTGGAACCCTGGCGACTGGCTGGGATTGAACCGGCGCTGCAGAGGCTGCGGACAGCTTCACAGTGCTGTGCTCAACCACCTGCGCAACCAGGGGAGGCCTGATAAGAGCTCTGTTTGTTATTTTGTTTGTTTTCAGTCAGTGGCAGAATCCAAAAGCTCAATAACTTTTTAGTCCCTTGTTCTTGTGGTTTAGGACAACTGGGTTAAACAACAAGGGATTATAGCCTCCCACAGCCCAGAGACTGTCCATTGTCTTTAGGATCATTCATCTCTGTTGACAAGGCTGGCTGAGTGTCCTGCTCAAATTTGCATAAACACTGGAAAGATCAAGTCTTCCACTTTCCTTCTCCAAGCTCCTGGACATAGCATTTGGAGTGTCACTCTCTCTTAGCACATATTCCAGTGAAAGGAAGTGATCCAGAGCAGCAAGGACACTGCCCAAATAGTTTACCGGTCACTATCTGAGTTCTTCACCCACGCACAATTGCAGGACTACTCAGGCTCAGAGAACAACAACAATGGGATTTGTTTAACAAACCAGGGAAAACCAAAGAGTTAGGGAGGCCAAAAATGGCCATTTACCTCACCCAAAGCAGTGTTCAGTGTTTTAAAGTCCTAAACAAAAAGCATCTAAGATGGTGTCTTCCCACCACTGAGGACACAGAAGTCCTCTCCCAAACAATAGACCACGCTCCCAAGATGGCATCTTCCTGCCACTGTGGACCTGGAGCACCTGTAGGCCAGACTGTAGGCCAAGTTTCAACTCACGAAGACAACAGAAGACACAACAGGATGTGCTCTAGGAGCTGCCAAGATGCCCCAACATAGCACCAGACAAGTGACACTCAAGATAGCAATTGCAGCAGCGGTCGAAGGACCTGACAGAAGGTCACACTCACACACTCACACAGCTCAGTGAGGCGCTTGGCTTCAGGTCTTTGCCTTCTCTGCTAGGTTGTGATCGCAGCAAAACTGTGAACAGTTTCAGTCACTTGGCTACTTGCAAAGCCTCCGACTGAGGTTGCCTGCTGGAGGCTCTCCACATCCTTCAGAGGCTCACACCAACCTTTTGGAACATTGGCGCTCTGGAGGCCAAAATCGCTGACCCTGAAATCGCTGAAGATATGAAAACTCTGACTCCTCAAAGCTGAATCCCTAATGCTGAATGCTCAAACACTGAATCCCGAACACTGAATCCTGGGGACTGCTTCTGTAGCCCCCTTATATTTCTTATCAGTCTCCATGCCCAAATGCAATATTTTTTAGCATTTTCCTTGAGGCTATCTATCCTTACCAGCACCCCCCTTCAGGGAGCATCACCTGTAACGGTCTTTGGCTTCAGCCACTGCTTACAGAATCCTATGGTAGCTAGGTTTACTATTTTGGAGCAAAGATTCTGTTAGATTGACACACCCTTCCTGGGTCTGGCCCCCAGGAAGCTTGCAAACGCTGAAACTGAGCCTGGCTACTGAAGCCTTAGGAATCACCTGTTGGTGTTTGACTCTGGCATCACATTAGAATCATCTGGGCAGCTGTTAAAAAAAGATGTGTGACTCCACCAAAATTTTTGGGCAGAGAACTCTTTAATTTGTACATCACACTATGTGTCTTTCTGCTTTCTGCTCAGGTCTTTTTCAGTTCCTCACAAGTGCAGACATCATTATGCCAGAAGCTCTCTGTTTAAAATGCCTGTCTCCTCTCTATCCTTCAATCAGTAAATACTGACTCGCTACTACAAATGAGGTACTATTTCTGACATTGAAGATATAAAAGGTCCAGATAGGAACTGAGATTTCCAGACATTTTACTTTATGCTAACTCAGTCTCCCCCCTCTTTGCTAGTTGAAAATTACTTGATGATATTGTAAAATTATTACAGGTAAGTACACTGTCAGCTAGAAGGCTAGACTGTTTAAAGAATTCCAATGGAAATTGTTCGATGAAAATAATCTTTCTTGAAATAAAAATGGAAATACCATATGAACTAGCAATACCATTTCTAGGTATTTGCCCAAAGAATATGAAAACAGTGATACAAAAAGACTAATGGGTCCCTGGGTTCACAATAGTATTATTCTAAGATATGTGTCAGGTAAGGTAAAAAGTATCAGGCTTTTCTGCCTTCCTGCCATTAGGATAGGTGATGGAACCCTGCAGTCCTGAATGTGTGCCTGATGGCGGGCACCTGGAATAGGGTGTGGGCATAGGTAGATGGGATTCACCTGGGCTAAGACTGGGCTTTTAAGGGCGGTGTCACGGGGACGCCAGCAGAAGCAGAAGCGGAAAGAAAGAAGCAGAATGAAAGAAGCAGAGAAGTAGGAGAGCAGCAGAGTTCACCAGAGAACCCAGACAGAGTGAAGACTTGCTGGGGGCTGGGAGGACTGCTAGCCTCTCCGCCCCCCAGCACCCCTGCCTGCCGTATGCCTGGTAAATCCCAATAAAAGTCTGCAAAAGCCACTGAGGGCTCCAGACTCCTCCTTTACCCGGTCTGCTGAATCACAAAACCTGCACTGTGTCCTTCCTGTCCTTACAATATGGAATCACCTATAAGTCCATTGACAGATGACTGGATAAAAAAAGATACTGTGGGCCTCCCTGGTGGCACAAGGGGTTAAGCACCAGGCTATGAAGCAATCCGCAGCCTCTGCAGCACGAATTCGATCCCCAGCCGGCCAGGGAGCAACCCACATGGCGCAGCAGACCTCTCCTCTCTAACCTGCTGCTCCCCTCATCAGTGTATTTCAGTCAATCCGCCTGTTCTGTTCCCTACTTTGTCTCTGGTGAATCCTCTCACCCCCCACACCTTTGGCCTGTACCCCAGCTCTTTCATGCATAAATAAATACATCTTTTTTTAAAAAAAGATACTGTGCTCTATATACTCGATGGAATGCTATTCAGCTATTTTTAAAAGATGAAATAGTGCCTTTTGGGAGAAAATAGATGGATCTTGAGGTGATTTTGCTAACAAAAATATGCCAGAAAGTGAAAGACAATCACCAGATGGTTTCACTCATTTGTGGAATCGAAATAACCGAAGAAAACGATCTGGCAAGGCCCAACAACATCCACCTCAGGCTCTTGAAAACATAGCGGCTACCAGAGCAGGTGAGGACTGTCGGAGGGGACAGTAACCGCCTATGGCACTGGAGCTTTGATGCCGGGTGAGTGAAGCAGGGCGCATGCTGAGGTGTGAGTTGTACTCCTTAATTTATATAGTTTTATAAACGAATGGCCAATCAGTATCTGATTAAAAAAAAAAACCTGCTCTCGAGGGGGGGCGTCGCCCGCGTGAGCGAAGCAGAGGGCGTCTACGCCGGCCTCGCACAGGTGAGGCGAAGCCCCGCCCCTCTCCGCCTCCAGCCCTGCTAGTGGGCGGCGCGGCCTTCATTCTAGCACGTAGGGAAAACGAGGGAGCCGACCCCCGCGCGCCGGCGGGGGCGGGGCCGGGGACTGGGCGTGAGCTGATTGGCCGGAGGGCGGGGCCGGGGGGACTGGGCGAGAGCTGATTGGCCGGGGGGCGGGGCGGCGGGCTCGGGCCGGCGCCGGCAGGAGTCCGGGGCGGGGTGACAGAGGGAGTCCTCTCAGCTCCTGCCTCCCCGCGATGGCGCCGCGGGGCCGCGCCCAGTCCCTCAGCCGCCGGCCGGCGCTCCCGACTCCCCGGAGCCCATCCGCGCGGTGAGCGCTGAGGCAGGTCCGAGGGAGCGGCGGGACGCTGCCGGCGACGGGGGCCATGAGGAGCGGCCAGCCCCGCGGGGCCGAGCGCAGGAGCGGCCGCGGCACCTGCTGAGGGGCGCGGGCGCGGGAGCGGCCGGGCGCGGCGGAGGCTCGCGGGCGGCTCGGCCATGTCGCTGCTCTGCGTGCGCGGTGAGTCCCAGGGCCGGGATAAGGAGCCGGGGGTGGGGTGGGGGGCGAGGGCGCCCCCCTCGCGGGCGGCGGGGTACCACCTGCGCCAAACTTCGCTGCCCGCGCGTGCGTCGGCGCCCGAGAAACTCTCCTCTGGCCTCGGTTGTCATCGTTGGAAGAGTTCTTTGCACTCTCCTTTCCCCCGCTCGCCCCTGGTGGGGACTGTTACCTCCATTCCGGTGGCCATGTGACTGGCTGGCTGGCAGGCCCGGATCCTATTGAAGTGTGGCCGGCGCTGTCCTCCAGGGGCGGGGACGGACTGGGAGACCCAGCACGGTTGGAGACTCGGCACTGAGCAGCCTCCCATTCTTTCCTTTCTTCTCCCTGCACCGTGAAAC